GAGATCGATGGACGTCCGGAGGCGACGTGGAGTCGTGATGGACTTTGTCTCCCTGGCAGTATCCCAACAGGAGGATGGTAAATTAAATGGACTTATAATATTCAGTTTAAAAAAAGTTATTTAAAGAACCCACGGAGGGGAGGAGGGAAGTATTGATATTCGGAAGAATCCTGTGCAAATTTTAACATCTGTAATAAAATTACTTGTGTGAATGAATTTGTAAAGTCAAATAAAAATTATTTTAAAAAGAGGAAGGGGACTCCAGTGTGCCCTTAACCCAATAATGCTTCCAGGTGCCTGTCAACTCAGTTTTTAAACCCCCTTGCCTGCCCGAACTGTATGCCAAATACCTACCTAACAGGTCAATTGAGTGATGGGAACCATACTGTGTGAAATAAGGGCATTGGCTTGGAAGAAGGAGCGGCAGGGAGGCCTGGCATGTTCCCCAGCACGATCGAATCCTCCACATTTCCTTGCTTGTTGATATTTTTCTTGAACTGTGGTGCTCAGAACTGAACATAAGACTCCAGGTGGTGCCCAACCGCAGCAGGAAACAAGACACACACACACACAGATCAATTAATGAACAACAGAGCAGCTCAAAGCCTCAGACTAGCTCCAAGTTAAAGTTGGGGAAGAAATTCCACTTAGAGGTTTTGGCAATGGAGAGGTATATATGTTTCACACTGAATAAATACCGTATTTTTCGCTCTATAAGATGCACCAGACCATAAGACACACCTAGTTTTTGGAGGAGGAAAACAAGGAAAAAAATATATTTTGAATCCCAGAAGCCAGAACAGCAAGAGGGATCGCGAAAGCAGCGATCCCTCTTGATGTTCTGGCTTCTGGGATAGCTGCGCAGCCTGCATTCCCTCCATAAGATGCACACACATTTCCCCTTACTTTTTAGGAGAGAAAAAGTGAGTTATATAGAGCAAAAAATTCGGTAAATGGGCTCGTTTCATGTTTCCTGAAACAATAGGCGAACCAAAACAACAGCCATCCTTTGAAATCCACACTTATCTGAATTTAGCAAATCCAGACAAATACAGTGGTACCTTGGTTCTCAAACGCCTTGGCACCCAAACACTGCAAACCTGGAAGTAAGTGTTCTGTTTTTCGAACTTTTTTTCGGAGTGTTGCGCTTCCGTTTAGAAGGCTATTGGGCTGGATCTGACCCCCCCCCAGGCCATTGTTTGCCTACCCATGCCCTACACCAGTGGTTCTCAAGCTGTGGGTGCCCAGATGTTGTTGGACTACAACTCCCATCGTCCCTGACCACTGGCCATGCTGGCTAGGAATGATGGGAGTTGTAGTCCAACAACATCTGGGGACCCACAGGTTGAAAACCACTGCCCTACCCAAATCCAACCTAAGATGGTTGGGTAGCGCCTTGTAGGCCTCCTTCAGGCAACTCCTGAAGCCAAGCTGGTGCCCAATGTCTAGCTCTGCTTTCCTTTGGACCCCATCAGTGAGGCTAGAGAGGGGGGCCTTGTTAACCATAAAAGAGTTTTCCTTCCTGTACTTCTGACCATAAAAGGGTATTCCTGTTCCTATACTCTTATCTTGGAGCAAGAGGTCACCAACTCCAAGAACACACTCTGGCGCTGTTCCCGGACTAGGTCTGTGCATCAGAGTGTGGTAAGATAAGACTCAGACATGTCATCCCTACTCCACTGGAACAGCCAAGGTCGTTCATTGCCGTGACTGATAAAGGAGAGAGCTTTGTTTATTCAGCTGTGTTCTTGTTATGCATTTGCTCAACAGCTCAAGTTAATGCATTTAGAAAGAAGAAAAGGGGGGGTTGGGTCCCGTTTCAAACTGACTGCACAGAAACCCATTCCTTCACATTGTCTCTCAAGAGAGATGGACGCCAGCAACAACTCACAGGGCAGCCCAGTGCTTGCCTACTTAGAAGTAAGCCTCATTGAGTCCTAACTCCTAGAAGAGCAACAGAGTCTCAGAAGATTAAGGAGTCTTCACTTGGAACTGGAAAGACATCAATGTATTCTCTTCAAAGAAAGCAATTGAAAGGTTCAAAACTGAAAACGTATCCCCTTGTCTCGCCCACCACACTTGAGATGGAAGGTTCGCCCAAAGGAGATCCTCTGATTACGGTCTTACTCACTGGGTGGCCTGGAGGGTGAGAGAAAGGAATCCAGGAGTTGTAAGGATTATTTCAATGCTTTGAACTCTTGAAGGCACAATGTAAGTCTGTTTCCCTTACATCTAGATCCACGGCAAAAGTAAAACTTCCTCCTTCTTTTTAAAGGAAATAGGAATTCTGAATATCAATTGGCGAATGCGTTCTCGCTTCTGAAGCCAAGCTGTTGAAAACTGGACCTACAGAAGATTCACAAGTTTGCAACAGGGAGCAAGGCTTAGTCCGTGCCCCTTGGCGCAACAATAATGTTCTAAGCTTATCCTTTTTCAGATTCCCCTAATTGTGTGTTTAATTTGAGCTCCCGCTAAAAGCACACAGGGGTATATTAGACCCCCATTAAATCAATTGGGAGCAAAATGGTTTGTTAAAGGTGTGACAGTCTAATGACCCGAGTAGAGGAGAAGCTCTTGCTCTAAAACCACAATATCTGCTTTATTTGAATGCATCAGATAAGAGGAGGGGCTTTCTCGCTCACTTCTTCCTTGTTTCCATTCACCTCCCCTGGTAGTTCTGAATGGAAAGATGGGGGGGTGCACAATTAAGAACTGGGGGTGGGGGTGAAGTGTAGGTTGGTTCCCATGAGGCAAGACACAGTGATAACAGCAAGAACCTTTATTGAACTACATAACTGGGAAACTGGGGCAAAGCAGCTGCTTATATACATTCCTGGAAGCCTGGGCCGCTCCCACTCCCAACGTGATTGGCTGTCTAAACTTCCAAGCTGTGAATCACGACTCAAGGGCCAATGGCAGAGGCCCAAATCCCAAAATGTTCTGTGATTGGACATCACGTATCGAACCAGAACACAGGAGCTCAGAATCCTTAGTCCAGACTCAAGCTCAGGCAAACACAGACCACTGAATACATAACAGGTGACTCTGTTAATTTTGGTCTGTCTCTCTCCCTCTTTTAAAAGGTAAAGGGACCCCTGACCGTTAAGTCCAGTCGCGGACGGCTCTGGGGACTGTTAACAACTGCAATTGGTCTTACAGGAAAAAGCAAGGGGTGAGATGGTATAATGAGATAAGAATCCAATGTCTCTATTCAGACCAGGTCTCGCCATGGTTTTAAATTTGGTAATAAGTTGCAATTCAGCAACTTCTCTTTCCAGTCTATTTCTGAAATTCTTTTCTAATAAGACAGCTACTTTGAGATCTTGCACAGGTACAGACTGACATCTTGCTAGAACTATGGAAGGAAAAAAGGAAAGGGGACCCCTGACCGTTAGGTCCAGTCGTGGCTGACTCTGGGGTTGCGGCACTCATCTCGCTTTACTGGCCGAGGGAGCCGGCGTACAGCTTCCGGGTCATGTGGCCAGCATGACTAAGCCGCTTCTGGCGAACCAGAGCAGTGCACGGAAATGCCATTTACCTTCCCGCCGGAGCGGTACCTATTTATCTACTTGCACTGGCGTGCTTCCGAACTGCTAGGTTGGCAGGAGCAGGGACAGAGCAATGGGAGCTCACCTCGTCACGGGGATTCGAACCGCCGACCTTCCGATCGGCAAGTCCTAGGCTCTGTGGTTTAACCCACAACGCCCCCCACATCCCTAGAACTATGGAAAGGTGGTACACAAATAAAATGATGGTGATGGTTTTGTTGTGTTAAAGGCTGTTTTTCCTTTTATTCTGCTGTTGCGCATAGGCAAGGGCCTCCTCACAAAGACCAACGCCCTGGTGCTCAGGCAAGAAGCCAGTGTCCACCTTCTCTCTCTGCAGAGCTTGTCAAACAGCTTCAGCCAAGATGGGAACCAAGAAGTTGGAGTCATCTGATTCAGCAGCAAGCCTCTCCTTTTGTCCTTATGTTCATTGTCATGTAGATCTGTCTTCTTTTAAAAAAAGAAGTGGCTTAATTTTTATAATATCAGGTTAATAATAAAGTGTTTTTCCCATGTGTAGGAGGGTTCAAAATAAAGACTAGGCTGCTCTGTCAGATCCAAATTCCCCAGCTGCTCAAATCAGTCTTGTGGCACCTCAGAAGAAGACCTTCTTCCGTGTTCTTGTTGTTGTTTAGTCGTTTAGTCGTGTCCGCCTCTTTGTGACCCCCTGGACCAGAGCACGCCAGGCACTCCTTTTTTTAAAAAAATATATATATTTATTAGAGTTTCAAAGAAGTTACAAAAAAGAGAAAAGGAAAAGGAAAAAGAAAAGGAAAAAAAGAGAGAGAGCAAAAAATACAAAATACAAGAAAATATAACAATTAAAAACATTTCCATCTTTCCATGTCTTATCTTTCATTTACTTGTTTCCCTGACCTCCTCACACCTCCCTTTTTTGTATTCTAGTTCAGTTAAATATTTCAGCAAATCCTTTCCGCTTGGATTTTATCCTAATAATTTATCTTAGTGTACTATAATTTTACATTCTTGTTTCACCACTTAAAAAATCAATTTTTACCTAATCTTTTATATCATTTCTGCTAAAACCACATTGCTTCATTCCAACATCCTTCTAGCATTCCTGGATCTTGCAATGTTTCTGTAAATAAATTTTAAATTTTTTCCAATCTTCTTCCACCAACTCTTCACCTTGGTCTCGGATTCTGCCAGTCATCTCCGCCAGTTCCATATAGTCCATTGCTTTCATCTGCCATTCTTCCCGAGTGGGTAAATCTTGTGTCTTCCAGTATTTTGCGATGAGTATTCTTGCTGCTGTTGTTGCATACATAAAAAAAGTTCTATCCTTCTTTGGCACCAATTGGCCGACCATGTCCAGGAGAAAGGCCTCTGGTTTCTTCTGGAAGGTACAGAGCACGCCAGGAACTCCTGTCTTCCACTGCCTCCCGCAGTTTGGTCAAACTCATGTTCATAGATTCAAGAACACTGTCCCACCATCTCATCCTCTGTCGTCCCCTTCTCCTTGTGCCCTCCATCTTTCCCAACATCAGGGTCTTTTCCAGGGAGTCTTCTCTTCTCCTGAGGTGGCCAAAGTCTTGGAGCCTCAGCTTCAAGATCTGTCCTTCCAGTGAGCACTCAGGGCTGATTTCCTTCAGAATGGAGAGGTTTGATCTTCTTGCAGTCCTTCTTCCTTAGTTTTCTTAATTTGCTTTGGATTCATGGTCGCCTTCGCTTGCCCAGCCCTGTTCCCAGTGGACGCCCTCCAAACTCAACAGAGCGCAAATCGCTAGCCGTGCTCCCAAAGCTTTCTCTCCCTGCCTGTGTTGCCTAAGATACATTTGGGGGCAAAAATGTGATCCTCTCGGCTTCCCCCTTTCTTCTGCTTTCCAGCAAGGCTCCAGAGTTAGCCACGCTTGAGGTGGCTGCCACAATCGATGTCCCTTTCGCAAGCAGGCTCTCTTCAAGCTGTCTCTCTGGGTCTCGTGCCATCCCAGCCACCACTGCTTTGAGGGCCTGGGAACTTGGGCTCCAAAAGAGCCTTACCAGGGGAGAGGGTTGCTTATGTGCCAAGGGGTGTGCATGTGTGTGTGTGTGTGTGTGAGAGAGAGAGAGAGAGAGAGAGAGAGAGAGAGACGGGATGGTTCGAAAGGCCACAAAACCAAGCAAAATACAGAAGTAGGCCATTGGACAAGATACATAATAATATAATGTTTTATACATAAACAGAGCCTAGGACTTGCTGATCAGAAGGTCGGCGGTTCGAATCCCCGCGACGGGGTGAGCTCCCATTGCTCGGTCCCAGCTCCTGCCCACCTAGCAGTTCGAAAGCACGCCAGTGCAAGTAGATAAATAGGTACAGCTCCGGTGGGAAGGTAAACGGTGTTTCCGTGCGCTACTCTGCTTCGCCAGAAGTGGCTTAGTCATGCTGGCCACATGACCCGGAAGCTGTACACCGGCTCCCTCAGCCAGTAAAATGAGATGAGCGCCGCAACCCCAGAGTCGGTCACGACTGGACCTAATGGTCAGGGGTCCCTTTACCTTTACCTAATATAATCAGATGGCACTTTGCTCCGTCTTCCTGACATTTCCTTTCCTGTCAATTCTTGCATTTTGTGTGATCTTTCAGACATTGCAAAAGGCACTTCTGGAAATCTAGTGTTAATTGTTTCGTCAGGGGGAGCAATCAGTTAACTCAGAAAAACAGGGGAGCTTTGCGTTGTAATTTTCACGATCGCACTGTTGCCCCTCGGGGGATGAAATTTGCCTGGCATCCTGGTGTACAGTTAAAATTGGGCAATGCATGGCAGCATATTCACCCCAAAGCCACGACCCATACGTGAAAGAGGTGGATCTCAGTAGTTAACCACATAAAGATCGGCTTTATTGGGCAAATAATAATAATAAATTTATACCCCACCCATCTGGCTGGGTTTCCCCAGCCACTCTGGGCAGCTCCCAACAGAATAAAAAAGGGATAAACTATCAAACATTAGAAACTTCCCTAAACAGGGTTGCCTTCAGATATCATCTAAAACTCAGGTAGTTGTTTATTTCCTTGACATCTGATGGGAGGGTGTTCCACAGGGTGGGCGCCACCACTGAGAAGGCCCTCTGGCTGGTTCCCTGTAGCTTTGCTTCTTACAGTGAGGGAACCACCAGAAGGCCCTCGGTGCTGGACCTCAGTGTCTGGGCAGAATGATCGGGGTGGAGATGCTCCTTCAGGTATACTGGACCGAGGCTGTTTAGGGCTTTAAAGGTCAGCACCAACAATCTGAATTGTGCTTGGAAACATACTGGGAGCCAATGTAGGTCTTTCAGGACCGGTGTTATGTGGTCCTGGCGGCCGCTCCCAGTCACCAGTCTAGCTGCTGCAATCTGGATTAGTTGTCGTTCCCAGGTCACCTTCAAAGGTAGCCCCACGTAGAGTGCATTGCAGTAGTCCAAGTGGGAGACAACCAGAGCATGCACCACTCTGGCGAGACATAGTCTAATGTTGGCTTGTGCGCTTGACCTAAGGGTAAGAAAAGCACAATGGTCATTCTCAGCAACCGAACATCAACCCCACTGCCAACCCATACCCTCCCCACCCACCCAGCATCCATGTATTCCACTGGCATGTGCAGGGTCCCAATCCATACGTTTACTCAAGGATGTGTGCGTCAATGGGCACACATGAAGTCCCTTCACATACTGCCCAAGCGTTTAGGCCGTGGGGAGCACAACTGTAGCAGACGTTGGCTGTGGGGACCCTATTTTGCATGCTCTTAGGGCATGGTGGGGGTCTCCAAGCCCCACTTGGTTTCTCCTTTAGGGAGTCACTTGACCTCAAAAGTTGTATCCAGCATCTATCTATCTATCTATCTATCTATCTATCTATCTATACAGTGGTACCTCAGTTTACATACGCTTCAGGTTACATATGCTTCAGGTTACAGACTCCGCTAACCCAGAATTAGTACCTCGGGTTAAGAACTTTGCTTCAGGATGAGAACAGAAATCGCGCGGCGGCAGCAAGAGGAGGCCCCATTAGCTAAAGTGGTGCTTCAGGTTAAGAACAGTTTCAGGTTACGAACGGACCTCTGGAACGAATTAAGTACTTAACCTGAGGTACCACTGTATATCTATCTATCTAGCTAGCTGTCTGTCTATCTATCCTCTATCTATCTATCTATCTATCTATCTATCTATCCATCTATCGCTATCTAGCTATCTAGCTATCCTCTATCTAGCTATCATCTATCTAGCTATCTATCAGCTATCAGCTATCAGCTATCATCTATCTATATCTATCTGTATCTATCTCAGGCTAACGCTGGGTTTTGTTTGCTGCTAATTGCAAGCTTTTAAAAGTATTTCTTGCAACCCAGAACTGCATAGAAACACGTCTCTCTCACATACAGAGGTGATGCCAGAACCCTCCCGCCTGCCCCTCCCCCGGTTGCTTAACGAAGGAATATTTATCAGCGAGGTTCAAAAAGGATTCAAAGGAGCTTTGCTTTTGAAGTTAATATTTCTCCCACCCCGCCTCCCCACCCCCCACTCAAAAATTATAATAAAATCTCCAAAGAGCATTTTCCAGCAAGACAAATATGAAGCAAGGATGGGTTACTTTCTTGAAAATTAATTATGTATTCAGATGCAAATATTGGGGGGGGGGGAGAGAGGTATGCTAATGCTGTCGCCTTTGATTATAGAAGACAGAAAAAAAGACTCTAGATCTTTGGCTGGTTTCCCTGAGTTTAAAAAGAGTTTCCTTACAACAGACACTTTTGTCCCCGGGTTTCGCCCTGTCAGAATGGCGTCCCTCCCCACGGCACCCCAACCCCAAGTTGGCACACTAGCTGCCGCCACTGTGAAGGAGGGTCTTTAGACTCCGTTGTCGGGTTCAAGTGGAAACGATGCCATTGGCTGCAAGGGAAACTGAGCTGCGTCGAGCCAAACCCTTGAGAAAGGCATAGGGAACAATGGCGGCTGCTCAGAACAGTGGCTACTGGGTGACTTGCCAGACTGAGGTGGTTGGTTTTTTGGGGGTAGTTTAAAGCCTTTGCCTCCCTCCTCAATGCTAGGTATACACTGAACGGGAGGAAGCAACAGAACCACTCTGTTCTGCCTTGGTCAGACCCCACCTGGAATACTGTGTCCAATTCTGGGCACCACCATTTAAGAAGGATGTTGACCAGCTGGAAGGTGGGCAGAGGAGGGAGACCAAGATGATCAAGGGTCTGGAAAGCAAGCCATATGAGGGACAGTTGAAGCAGCTGGGCATGTTTAGCCTGGAAAACAGTAGTCTGAGAGGAGATATGATAGCCATCTTCAATTATCTTAAGGGCTGTTCTTTTGCCTTGGTCAAGCCACACCTGGAATACTGTGTCCAATTCTGGGCACCACAATTTAAGAAGGATGTTGACCAGCTGGAAGGTGGGCAGAGGAGGGAGACCAAGATGATCAAGGGTCTGGAAAGCAAGCCATATGAGGGACAGTTGAAGCAGCTGGGCATGTTTAGCCTGGAAAACAGTAGTCTGAGAGGAGATATGATAGCCATCTTCAATTATCTTAAGGGCTGTTCTTTTGCCTTGGTCAAGCCACACCTGGAATACTGTGCCCAATTCTGGGCACCACAATTTAAGAAGGATGTTGACCAGCTGGAAGGTGTGCAGAGGAGGGCGACCAAGATGATCAAGGGTCTGGAAAGCAAGCCTGATGAGGAACGGTTGAAGGAGCTGGGTATGTTTAGCCTCGATAAGAGGAGACTGAGAGGAGATATGAGAGCCATCTTCAAATATCTTAAGGGCTGTTCTTTTGCCTTGGTCAAGCCACACCTGGAATACTGTGTCCAATTCTGGGCACCACAATTGAAGAAGGATGTTGACCAGCTGGAAGGTGTACAGAGGAGGGCGACCAAGATGATCAAGGGTCTGGAAAGCAAGCCTGATGAGGAACGGTTGAAGGAGCTGGGTATGTTTAGCCTCGATAAGAGGAGACTGAGAGGAGATATGAGAGCCATCTTCAAATATCTTAAGGCCTGTTCTTTTGCCTTGGTCAAACCACATCCAGTGGCTGTGGACCTTTTAAGATCTGAAGCCTACATGTGCCTTGGTTTTTCTTGGTCTCATTTCTCCCTTTATCGAGTTACAGATTTATAGTACCGCCTCAGGCCTCAGACCAGTTCTGGGCATCACAATTTAAGATGGATGTTGACAAGCTGGAAGGTGTGCAGAGGAGGGAAACCGAGATGATCCAGGGTCTGGAAACCAAGCCTGATGAGGAACGGTTGAAGGATCTGGGTATGCTTAGCCTGGAAAAGAGGAGACAGAGAGGAGATACGATAGCCATCTTCAAATATTTTAAGGGCTGTCACGTGGAGGAGGGAACAAGCTTGTTTAGTATTGCTCTGAAATGTAGGACCCGAACCAATGGCTTCAAGTTACAATAAAGGAGATTCTGACTCCACATAATAATAATAATAATAATAATAATAATAATAATAATAATACAGTGGTACCTTGGGTTACAGACCCTTCAGTTTCAGATGCTTCAGGTTACAGACTCCTCTAACAGAGAAATAGTACCTTGGGTTAAGAGCTTTGCTTCAGGATGAGAACAGAAATTGCACAGCGGCAGCAGCGGGAGGCCCCATTAGCTACAGTGGTACCTCAGGTTAAGAACAGTTTCAGGTTAAGAACGGACCTCCAGAACAAATTAAGTTCTTAACCTGGGGTACCACAATAATAATAATAATAATAATAATAATAATAATAATAATAATAATAAATAAAATAAAAATACCCCACCCATCTGGCTAGGTTTCCCCAGCCACTCTGGGCAGCTTCCAACAAAACACTAAAATATAATAACCTCTTAAACATTAAAAGCTTCCCTAAACAGGGCTGCCTTCAGATGTCTTCTAAAAGTTTGGTAGTTATTTTTCTCTTTGACATCTGGTGGGAGGGCGTTCCACAGGGCGGGTGCCACTACCAAGAAGGCCCTACTTCACTACCGAGAATCGGGGGGGGGGGGCAGAACCTGGAGCAGGAATAGGGAGGAGCAACTGGGCTTTCAAGTGGCTTCAGGGGGGTGACAAGAGTCCCCCTACTGGGGTGCAATGAGTCTCTGATGAGACCAAGCATAGTAGCAACAGCTATCGTTAGGAAGAAAGGTCCTGACGGACGGTTTCCTGTTAGGATTCGGCCGGCCGTCCATTTCCAGCTGCCTTTTCTGCTTAGACACATCATGGATGTTCAGAGGCACCTTTGATCACCGCCGTCCACCGCACCCGGTGACAATCGATTCCCCCCACCCCACTTCCTTTGTGTCTCCACCCCACCCTTGGCAGGCGAGCGTTTTCGCAGAAGCTCTGAAAGATTAATGGGGAAGGTGTGGGTGACTGGCTGGCGTGGCGCTGGGGGTGGTGAGTGAGAGCTTTTCCTTCTGATGGGAAAATTAATTATTCACCACCCAAAGGAGAAGGAAGGCGAGGGGAGTCGGGCGGCAGGAGGAGTCCAGGCTGAGGAGTCTTCAAAACGAGCCTGACAGCATGTCCTTGGAGAAGGTTGGTTGTTGGAAAGAGAGGAACAAGGGAGTCTTCGGAGGATGGACCAGGAAGACAGGAGAGGGAATAGCGGGAGATAGACTAGGCAGAATTGGAGCCCCAGGGAGTGTTTTCAAGGCCAGCCGCCAGTGAGGGACACAACAAGTCACTTTCTGTTTCTCGTTCTCCAGATTTCCACAACATTCTACAGGGGAGTGGACAGATAGATAATTTATTATGGTGAAAGACCAGCTCACGTAACATAACACAATAAAAGCAACAATAAAAACACACACACAAAAATTTAACATAAAAATAAAATATACAATCGGAGCAGATTGCAGCAATAGCTCAAGAGTTAAAATTGAGATATATACATACACCCGTACAACTGAGATTTGTGTTTTTTGAGGAGTGTTTTTGGGGATCCACCAGCCTTTTAGTGCAGAATTATCCAGATATACGCATGTTTTGCATACCAATACCATCCCCCCCCCCTTTGGACGCAGGTGGCGCTGTGGTCTAAACCACTGAGCCTCTTGGGCTTGCCAATTGGAAGGGTGGTGGTTTGAATCCCTGCGACAGAGTGAGCTCCCGTTGCTCTGTCCCAGCTCCTGCCAACATAGCAGTTCGAAAGCACGCCAGTGCAAGTAGATAAATAGGTACCACTGCGGTGGGAGGGTAAACAGCAATTCATGCGCTCTGGCAAGACCGACTGGGACAACTTGACGTGCACACAAGGCCTGAATAAAGAGTTAATTTCCCGGACACCTTGTGAGTCTTTGCTGACCACTGCCTTGACACCACAGAACCATGGGGAAGGTGGATTTTGGGGTCCCTGGTGACAATTTGGGAACAGCCTTGTGATCTTCGGGTGAAGGGCAGCGTGCAGATTTAGTAAATAAAATAAATACAGTGGTACCTCTGGTTGCGAATGGGATCCATTCCGAAGCCCCATTCGCGACATGAGCAGAATGCAACCCGCGTGCAAGGGTCACGATTCGCCATTTCTGCGCATGATGTCATTTTGAGCGTCTGCGCATGCGCGAGCGGTGAAACCCGGAAGTAACCCTTTCCGGTACTTCCGGGTCGCCGCGGGACGCAACCTGAAAAGATCTATCCTGAAGCAAGCGTAACAAAAGGTATGACTGTAAGTACCGTATTTTTCACTCTATAAGGCGCACCAGACCACAAGACGCACCTAGTTTTTGGAGGAGGAAAACAAGAAAAAAAATATTCTGAATCTCAGAAGCCAGAACAACAAGAGGGATAGCTGCGCAGTGAAAGCAGCAATCCCTCTTGCTGTTCTGGCTTCTGGGATAGCTGCGCAGCCTGCATTCGCTCCATAAGACGCACACACATTTCCCCTTACTTTTTAGGAGGGGGAAAGTGAGTCTTATAGAGCAAAAAATACGGTAAATTTGGGGTTTGGCCCGTGGCGCATCTGTTGCAACACTTTTCATTAGGAACTGAATGGGGGTGGGGGTGGAGATTATCACCCGGAGTCTATGAAAACAGCCCTACGCACGAGGCAGCCATATGCTCCAACAGCCACCAGAATTAAGTGTCTCTACTTAGAAAGGGTTGGGAGTCCCCCGAGGTTAATTAGCAAATGCAGCTCAGCTGCGGAAAACCTTGTAAGAACGCATCGGCATCTTCGAGAAGCCCAGCATAGGATTACTACAAAATAGGCAGGAACCCTTCTGAATTAGCAGCGTGTAGTGCACGGCCTGTTTCATCCACACTCGGAGCTTGGAACATTTCGGCCTTAGCTGGTCTAGTTGCCCATTGCAAACCTCACCATTTCTTTAAAAAGAAGAAGAAGAAGAGTTTGGATTTGATATCCCGCTTTATCACTACCCAAAGGAGTCTCAAAGCGGCTAACATTCTCCTTTCCCTTCCTCCCCGACAACAAACACTCTGTGAGGTGAGTGGGGCTGAGAGACTTCAGAGAAGTGTGACTGGCCCAAGGTCACCCAGCAGCTGCAGGTGGAGGAGCGGGGAAGCGAACCCGATTCACCAGATTACGAGTCCACCACTCTAAACCACTACAACCACACTGGTCTCGGGTGCGGGAGGTGATTCGATAACCTTTTCTACGTAGCGATAACAACACAGTCCCTCGTAACGCGGGGTGCAGTTTTTTAAAGCACAGCATGTATATCAGCACACAAAACTCATGGAATCGTAGAGTTGGAAGGGACACCCCCACCCCTGAGTAATTTTTATCATTGTATTATTTATTGAATTTATATACCGCCCTATAACCAGGGGAAGGGGCGCGGGTGGCGCTGTGGGTTAAACCACAGAGCCTAGGACTTGCCGATCAGAAGGTCGGCGGTTCAAATCCCTGCGACGGGGTGAGCTCCTGTTGCTCGGTCCCTGCTCCTGCCAACCTAGCAGTTCGAAAGCACGTCAAAGTGCAAGTAGATAAATAAGTACCACTCCGGCGGGAAGGTAAATGGCGTTTCCGTGCGCTGCTCTGGTTCGCCAGAAGTGGCTTAGTGATGCTGGCCACATGACCCGGAAGCTGTACGCCAGCTCCCTCGGCCAATAAAGCGAGATGAGCATCGCAACCCCAGATTCGGTCACGACTGGACCTAATGGTTAGGGGTTCCTTTACCTTTACCTTTAATACCCGGGGGGGGCCTCAGGGTGGTTCACAGAATAAAATCAAGATGTATAACCATAAAATACATAATAAAAATAAAAACAACAACCCAATAGCCAACCCCCCCCAAAAAAATAACATTTTACAAGGGCGTAGGGATGTAAATCAGATCTGCAGGGGGTCTTCGCCGCAGGATCACATTCACCCGGTGCTATACCAGCTGCACTGGCTCCCGGTGGACTACAGGGTCAGGTTTAAGGTGCTGGTTTTAACCTTTAAAGCCCTATATGGCCTAGGACCCTCATACCTACGGGACCGTCTCTCCTGGTATGCCCCACGAAGGACCTTAAGGTCTGCAAATAATAACACCCTAAGATCCCAGGCCCCAGGGAGATTAGACTGGCCTCGACCAGAGTCAGGGCCTTTTCGGCCATGGCCCCTGCCTGGTGGAACGCTCTCTCAGAAGAGACCATGGCCCTGCGGGATTTGACATCTTTCCGCAGGGCCTGCAAGATGGAGCTGTTCTGCCAGGCCTTTGGTCAGGGTTCAGTCTGAATCTTTTCTTTCCTAGCCCACTCACAGGTCCTTTATAAGACCAGTGGTAACAGTTGGCCCTGGAGAATATTAACCACTCCCTATTTTACCCGTGGACTGCCATCTGTCCAGATTTTAATTTGCTCTGAACTAATTTTAAGATATATTTTAATTAATTGATTGCCTGTTTTTATGTTCTTTGTAGGCTGTGCTAGTTTTATGATGTTAGCTGCCCTGAGCCCAGCTCTGGCCGGGGAGGGCGGGGTACAAATAAATTATTATTATCATCATCAACCAAAGGCCTGGTTAAAAAGGAACATTTTTGCCTGGCGCCTAAAGTTGTATAATGAAGGCGCCAGGTGAACTTCACTGGGGAGAGCGTTCCACAAACAAGGAGCCACTGCAAAGAAGGCCCCGTTCTCGTGTTGCCACCCTCCGGACCTCTTGGAAATGTCGTCCAACCCCCTGCAATGCAGGAATGAGAGCAGAACCCACCCACCCCCCTGAAATATGGCTATCCGACCTGTTAAAAAATATTCCAAGGAAGGAGAGTCCACAACCTCCCGAGGGAGTCTGTTCCACTGCCCAATGTCTCCTACCATCAGAAGGTTTTTCCTGATTTTGGGTCGGAATCTCCTTTCTCCTTTCCCGTCCTTTGAATTCATTAGTTCAAGTCCGACCCTCTGGAGCAGCAGAAAATAAGCTTGCTCCACCTCACCCTCAAGGTATGTAAGAAGTTGGAATAATCTGTTGTGTTCAACCAGAGGAAAGTCATTGTTAACATTTACTAAAGATTGGAAAACCCTTATAGATTTTTTGCGCGAAGAAAAGTGAACCGACTTCAGGCTGGAGATAATGTTGGTTTACATAAAGTGGTTTTGTTAGGTGTAATAGCGGAGTGGGTGGGTTTAATAACGTTTATAAATAGCTGATAGACCAGGAATCTGAAGTTGTTTATTTTCCTTTATTTAATTCCCCCCCCCTTATTTCTTCTCTATTTTCCTCTTTCCTCTCTACAATGGTTGGTTCTCGAACTTACCGTATTTTTTGCTCTGCAAGACTCACTTTTTCCCTCCTAAAAAGTAAGGGGAAATGTGTGTGCGTCTTATGGAGCGAATGCAGGCTGCGCAGCTATCCAGAAGCCAGAACAGCAAGAGGGATCGCTGCTTTCACTGCGATCCCTCTTGCTGTTCTGGCTTCTGAGATTCAGATTTTTTTTTCTTGTTTTCCTCCTCCAAAAACTAGGTGCATCTTGTGGTCTGGTGTGTCTTATAGAGCGAAAAATATGGTAATCTGTTCCGGGAGTCCGTTCGACTCCCTAAACCATTCGAAAACCAAGGCGCGGCTTCTGATTGGCTGCAGGAACTTCCTGAACTCAAACGGAAGCCGTGTCGGAAATTCGGCTTCTGAAAAACATTCGAAAACTGGAACACATCCATCCGGATTTGCGGCGGTCAGGAGCCGATTTGTCCAGGAGCCAAGCCATTTGACAACCACTATATCTTTCTTTCCTTTTCTTTATCTCTCTCTCTCTCTCTGGCTTGTGCTTTGATCTAGATTAACGTTCTACTTTTGATGTATAAAAAATATATTTGATCATTTCTTTATAGCTTTTTCTAAATCCCAATTTATTAAAGGGGGAAAAATCTGGTGTGGTGGGAGGTATAATGAAGGCTTGCTTGGGTATACGTGCAAAAGACTTCAACAATATAAGCAATCGGAGCCAGTGTAGCGTAGTGGTTAGAGTGTTGGACTAGGACCTGCGAGGTCGAGGGTTCAAATCCCCACTCAACCACTAAGCTCCACCTTGGACCAGTCACTGCCTCTCAGCCTAACTTACTTCACAGGGTGTAGGGTAAAGGGATGCGGGTGGCGCTGTGGTCTAAACCACTGAGCCTCTTGGGCTTGCCGATCGGAAGGTCAGTGGTTCGAATCCCCACAACTGAGTGAGTTCCCATTGCTCTGTCCCAGCTCTGGCCAACCTAGCAGTTCGAAAGCACGCCAGTACAAGGAGATAAATAGACACCGCTATGGCAGGAAGGTAAACAGCATTTCCGTGTGCTCTGGTTTCCATCACGGTATCCCATTGCGCCAGAAGTGGTTTAGTCCTGCTGGTCACATGGCCCGGAAAGCTGTCTACGGACAAACGCTGGCTTCCTCGACCTGAAAGCAAGATGAGCGCCGCAACCCCGTAGTTGCCTTGGACTGGACTTAACCATCCTGGGGTCCTTTACTTTACCTTTACCTACCTCGCAGGGTAGGATAAAATGGAGCCGGAAAACTATGTACGCGCCTTGAAGGAAAATTGGGATGTAAATAAAATATAACAAAATAAAACCTGCAGCAAAGCTTCACGGGGCCTTCTGGCTCCCGATCAGAGACCTGACTTGGTGGGTCCTGCTGAGAGGAGAACGGGCATCATGAATACAGATTTAGCTAGAATTCAGATTTAGCCCTCTGGTGGGAGGGTGTTCCACAGGGCGGGTGCCACTACCAAGAAGGCCCTCTGCCTGGTTCCCTGTAACTTGGCTTCTCACAGGGAGGGAACCACCAGAAGGCCCTCGGCGCTGGACCTCAGTGTCAGGGCAGAACAATGGGGATGGAGACGCTCCTTCAGATATATTGGACCGAGGCCGTTTAGGGCTTTAAAGGTCAGCACCAACACTTTGAACTGTGCTCGGAAACATACTGGGAGCCAATGTAGGTCTTTCAAGACCAATGTTATGTGGTCTCGGCAGCCGCTCCCAGTCACCAGTCTTGCTGCCGCATTCTGGATTAGTTGTAGTTTCTGGGTCACCTTCAAAGGTAGCCCCACAAAGTTACAAAAGTATAAAAACAGGTTTACCCCATATGTGGGTTTACCTAATGACTGCACTTAGCAGTCCGGGAAGTTCGCAGGATGAAAGGAAGATGGAAAAGAGGGAGAGTGGCAGCATGCCTTGTCCTTTTACCAGGTCTGGAAAGGTCACGCCCAACCACTAGTCACATGCAAGGAAAGATGCTCCAGGCCAGGAGGAACAGGAAGTTTCGACTGGCTGGACCAAACATTCCCTTGCATGTCCACTCTAGGAAAACAAGGAATGTTGTACTTGACTGCTCTCAGTGGATTACATCCAGCACTCATCTCTCCTATAATTCCACTTCATGTGGGGTTTATAAAGGTCCTCTTCCCTGTGCAGTCTTCTTCAGATTTAAAGAAGCAACTGAAATTTCAAGAAGCGACCGAAAAGCCATCAATTTCTAATTTATAACAAACACGGGAAGAAATAGAGAAGGGTCATAAAACAATGAAATGAGCGTTCCGTGTGATGGAGGATACATGGAACTTTTTATCCCCGGCAATAAAGCAAGCAACTTGCCAGGAGATCTTAGGGCCGTCAATCACGGGGTTTTAGGTGCTATTTAAAAATAAAATCTCTCCCGCACAGTCTTCCCACAGACTGCTGCTGATGGTGTGGAGAGGCCAGTTGTCCGAATTAAAGAGGGAGACACTGTTGAGAACCTTTCCTATTAAAAGCAAGCCACTGTTTGATAAATACAGTAAACCTTTTGGGTTCTGTAGGGTTTTACAGGTGCTCAGAGCACACTGAAAAGATTATTTCCATAAACTCCAGGTAAATCTATTAGCTACTATTAGCTGCTGTTGTACAGGGGGGCGGGATGGCTATTGAGCTGAGCTTAGGGATGGGGGAGCAATTCAGTTTGCATTTAAAGGCAAACCTGTTTAATTTGCACTTTCCAGAACAAACTGGAGCACCATTCGTTTCAGCCGTTCTTTTCAAATTTGCACTTCTCTGAATTTCGCAATGTAGTCCTCAAGCAGAGTAATGTGTAAGAAAATGCATATGCATGGGTAAAGTGTCCACAAAAACATGCCTCGGTCCAGTATACCTGAAGGAGCTTCTCCACCCTCATAGTTCAGCCCAGACACTGAGGTCCAGCGCCGAGGGCCTTCTGGCGGTTCCCTCGCTGCGAGAAGTGAGGTTACAGGGAACCAGGCAGAGGGCCTTCTCGGTAGCAGCGCCCACCCTGTGGAACGCCCTTCCTTCAGATGTCAAAAAGAAAAACAACTACCAGACTTTTAGAAGACATCTTAAGGCAGCCCTGTTTAGGGAAGCTTTTAATGTTTGCTGGATTACTGTATTTTACTATTTTGTCGGAAGCCGCCCAGAGTGGCTGGGGAAGCCCAGCCAGATGGGCGGGGTATAAATAATAAATTATTATTATTATTATTATTATTATTGGCAAAAATAATTTACAGCAGTGCATTGTATTTGGGGAAAGTGTTTTGCAATACATATATATATTTGTTTGTTAGGAAAAGTTTGCATGCAAAAATTGAAGGGTTCTCACGACGAAATGTGGATAATTTAAGACTTGGAAAGTAAGAAACTTGGAAAACTGAAAATTGGCCTATTTGTTCATCCGTGGCTGAGACTGACAATAGAATTGTAGAGTTGGAAGGGACCCCAAGGGTCATCTAGCCCAACCCCCTGAAACAGCCAGTTATTTATTTGGTTCCCCTTTCCCCAAGGAGCTTAGGGAAGCCTATAGGGTGTCTCCTGCACATTTTGGTTTTATTATATATTTTCCATACTCATTTTGCATTTTTATGTTGTGAACCGCACTGTGATCTTTGGAGGAAGGGCAGTAGATAAATTTAATAAATAATAAAAACAAAACAATAATTACAGCAAACTTGTGAGTTGACTGAGGAAGAGTGACTGGGTTGGGGACACCCGAGGAGTTTTATGGTTGTGCGCATCATGTCACGAGCTGCTAGGCTGGCATGAGACTCCTCCATGTGGTGAACCACTGAACTACAGGCAATAGCCTTCCCAGTAAAAAGGTAAAGGTAAAGGACCCCTGGACGGTTAAGTCCAGTCAAAGGCGACTCTGGCGTTGCAGAGCTCATCTCGCTTTCAGGCCAAGGGAGCCAGCATTTGTCCGCAGACAGCTTTCCGGGTCATGGGGCCAGCAGGACTAAACTGCTTCTGGTGCAACGGGACACCGTGATGGAAACCAGAGCACACGGAAACATCGTTTACCTTCCCGCCGCAGCAGTACCTATTTATCTACTTGCGCTGGCGTGCTTTCGAACTGCTAGGTTGGCAGGACACCGTGACGGAAACCAGAGAGCACAAAAATGCCGTTTACCTTCCCGCTACAGCGGTACCCATTTATCTAATTGCAGAAGAAGAAGAAGAAGGTGTGTCACACGAATGCTCCCCGTGTTCCGCCCCGGCTGGAAAGGGGTTAGTTTAAACTCTGGTTTGCTAGCAAAACTGAATTACCATGTCACGAAATGACGCTTGTCCAAAAAGTGTGTCACGAACATGAGAAGTTTGGAAAGCTCTGCCCTAAGCCATGATTTTGCTAGCTGGAAGTGCTCTCTATGTATTTGAAAACTTTCCCCAAAAGACTTTTTCCCAAAGTCTGGATCCTTGCAGGGACATCTGACTCTGCCGTCTGAGCTGTCATTTGATGGGCCTTGATCTTCAGAGGCATTCAATCCAAGCTGGTAGTGGAGCCTCTCTCGGGGGCGGGGGGCGGACTGGCGTCTCCTTCCCTTTGCGATTCCATCCATCTATCTCCCACGTTGCGCTGACGCCTCCTTTTGTCAAAGCAATTTCCATTTGCTCTGTCGGAAGGCAAAGAACTGCCATCGAATCATGGGAGGTTTGTCACTGCGGGTCTAATTAACAATCGCGCAGAGGGTTTCTCTGCCTTGACGTAAGAGCAAGAGAAATGAGGGTGTGCCGATTTGTTTCCACACACAGAACTGAGCAACCGCTAGGATCTTGTGAAAATGTTTGCAGACCGTTTCGGACGCTGCGGAAGTGAGTGTGGCGGGTTGGCTCTTTTGGGAAACGAGAGAGGCACTTCAAGGCCAGGGGAGGGATGTTTGCCGGGACTTCCCCTTATAGTTGGTCTTTGACTGGACTTAACCATCCAGGGGTCCTTTGTTCTTGTTGTCGTTTAGTCGTTTAGTCGTGTCCGACTCTCCGTGACCCCCTGGACCAGAGCACACCAGGCACTCCTGTCTTCCACTGCCTCCCGCAGTTTGGTCAAACTCATGTTGGTAGCTTCGAGAACACTGTCCAACCATCTCGTCCTCTGTCGTCCCCTTCTCCTTCTGCCCTCCATCTTTCCCAGCATCAGGGTCTTTTCCAGGGAGTCTTGTCTTCTCATGAGGTGGCCAAAGTCTTGGAGCCTCAGCTTCAGGATCTGTCCTTCCAGTGAGCACTCAGGGCTGATTTCCTTCAGAATGGAGAGGTTTGATCTTCTTGCAGTCCATGGGAATCTCAAGAGTCTCCTCCAGCACCATCATTCAAAAGCATCCATTCTTCAGCGATCAGCCTTCTTGATGGTCCAGCTCTCACTTCCATACATTACTACTGGGAAAACCATAGCTTGAATTATACGGACCTTTGTGGGCAAGGTGATGTCTCTGCTATGCTTTTTAAGATGCTGTCTAGGTTTGTCATTAGGGGTCCTTTACCTTCACCTATATGTGATTGCAGCCTAAGATGGTGGCCTTCTAGCTATTCCTGGACTTCACCTCCTGCCAGTCCTAGCCAGGAATTATGGGAGTTGGAGTCCAGGAACATCCAGAGGGCTTCAGTTTCCCCATCCGTCCCTGGCCTAAGCTTTAGCTTTCAACTCAGCACAGCCCCTAGGGAATCCCTGACCCGCTAGGATCCTTAATTCACACAGGAAGCTGCTCTGTATCCATCAAACTCATTATTGTCTATCCTGATTGATGCTAACTTTTTTTAAAAAAATCCTTTATTATTTTATTCACATAATATACATTCTTTACAACAAACAACTCCAAAATAAACAGACAACTCCAAAATAGCTTCTTGGGGTCTCAGTTGCTAATACAACCCATCTGATCCTTTAGTCTTTGCGTGAGCTAAAAGTCCCCCACACCAAGTCCATTTCCCCCTGCTTTCCAACCCACTATCTGGTCCAGATCTCTTTCCTTAGTCTCCAGGGACGCGGGTGGCACTGTGTTCTAAACCACCGAGCCTCCTAGGCTTACCAATTGGAAGGTCAGTGGTTTGAATCCCCGCGACGGGGTGAGCTCCTGTTGCTCAGTCCCAGCTCCTGCCAATCTAGCAGTTCGAAAGCACACCAGTGCAAGTAGATCAATAGGTACCACTGTGGCAGGAAAATAAATGGTTTTCATGCACTCTGGCTTCCATCACGGTGTCCCGTTGCGCCAGAAGTGGTTTCGTCCTGCTGGCCACATGACCTGGAAAGCTGCCTGTGGATAAACGCTGGTTCCCTCGGCCTGAAAGTGAGATGAGCGCTGCAACCCCATAGTCTCCTCTAACTGGACTTAACCATCCAGGGGTCCTTTGTTGTTGTTGTTTAGTCGTTTAGTTGTGTCTGACTCTTCGTGACCCCATGGACCAGAGCACGCCAGGCACTCCTGTCTTCCACTGCCTCCCGCAGTTTGGTCAAACTCATGCTGGTAGCTTCGAGAACACTATCCAACCATCTCGTCCTCTGTCGTCCCCTTCTCCTTGTGCCCTCCATCTTTCCCAGCATCAGGGTCTTTTCCAGGGAGTCTTCTCTTCTCATGAGGTGGCCAAAGTCTTGGAGCCTCAGCTTCAGGATCTTCCAGTGAGCACTCAGGGCTGATTTCCTTCAGAATGGAGAGGTTTGATCTTCTTGCAGTCCATGGGACTCTCAAGAGTCTCCTCCAGCACCAGAATTCAAAAGCATCCATTCTTCAGCGATCAGCCTTCTTGATGGTCCAGCTTTCACTTCCATACATACCAGGTGTCCTTTACCTTATACCTTTACCTTAGCCTCCATCACTTCTGGAATCTCTTCCCCTCTACCTTCCTGCACTACTAACATTTCCTGCCACCAACATGTACAGTAGCTCCTCTCATGTCTAGGTGTGTGAGGTTTACCAGCCAAACTGACCATTTCCTTCCCTCACAGGAGCTAAACTACAATCAGGAGCTGCCTGAGCTAGGAACATAGAACCCACCAATTTATGTGCTGCTGCCCTAAGTGGTAAAACAGTAACACTACAGATTAGAACATTCCCACCGCCCAGAGCGGTATATAATAGATTATATATCGTTTTAATTCCACATCCCTTTTTCCTTGTTTCTTAGGGACTTTTGTTTTAATTGATTGTAGATATACAGCCCTGCAAGTTCTTTTTAGCTGAGGAGTAATGGAAAGGGGGAGCTCCAGTTCAATAAATAAAATATCAGCATGATCTGCCTCTAGGGACAGAGGAGGAATGTGATTCGGTGTATCTGCCGTATTTGAATCTACCTTTCCAAACACACGCAAAAACCGAAACACAGTCATCCTTCACACTTCTCCACATTTTGAAATGTGGCTCTCCGGCTAAGTAAAGTGTGCATAAAAATGCATTGATTGGTGACAAAAGAGCATAAAGTACATTATTGTTATTTTGTATATTTTTTCTTTCTTTTCAAGTATAATATCTAGGTAAAGAATAATAAAGACGTCTTCAGCAGTACAGATATGTGTCATTTTTGAATCTGTAACAGTTATTTCAAAGGTTGATGTATATACAGTGGTACCTCGGGTTAAGAACTTAATTTGTTCTGGAGGCCCGTTCTTAACCTCAAACTGTTCTTAACCTGAGGTACCACTTTAGCTAATGGGGTCTCCCGCTGCCGCCGTGCGATTTCTGTTCTCATCCTGAGGTAAAGTTCTTAACTTGAGGTACTATTTCTGGGTTAGCGGAGTCTGTAACCGGAAGCGTCTGTAAACCGAGGTACCACCGAACAATGCATCCAGTAACAATAGAACAAATTACTATTTACCCTCCTCCCAAAAGAAGACATAAAATGTATTATATTAGGGGAAATTGCTCTGGGAGGGTGGAATGCGTTCATTGGGCAAATTTTCATACAAACATGTATACTAAGATAAATTTTCACTAAACTGCTGGTGAATTTTCATGAAGTTTCATGAAGTTTTATTAACACACCAAAACACCCCAAAACTGATGTGAACTGAACTTACAATTGGGAAAATGAGAAACAGGGAGAAAACTTGCACATTCACCAATCCCTATACAGTGGTACCTCTGGATACATACGCTTCAGGTTACAGACGCTTCAGGTTACAGACTCCGCTAACCCAGAAATATTGCTTCAGGTTAAGAACTTTGTTTCAGGATGAGAACAGAAATCGGGCAGTGGTGGCAGAAGCGGGAGGCCCCATTAGCTAAAGTGGTGCTTCAGGTTGAGAACAGTTTCAGGTTAAGTACGGACCTCCGGAACGAATTAAGTACTTAACCTGAGGTACCACTGTACCAGAAATCTCTCCCTATCTGAGGAGCTCGGTCATACGGTTGTGAGGAATTCTTCGCCCAAAAAACTCTTCCCACAAGTCTCGCTTTACGTTGTTGTCGCTCCTGCATTTTTCTCTCCATTCAGTCCCTTTTCTCTTTCCGTTCCTCTCTTTCCTGACTCGTTTCCTTTTAAAAAATTGCATAATTAATCAGTCGTAATAAGACATCTCTTGAGGGGAGAGGTTATGGGGTGGGGGTTGAAACTGCCACATTCTCCAGCGAGCGCAGGAGACAAGATTTAACAGAGTGTGCCAAAATTGGCTAAACAGCGCCAGAAAGGATTAGCTAAAATAACAAAATAAAACAGAAAAAATCCACCTCTTTGGAATATATAACTTCTTTACAAGAGAGCTGCTGTTACATAGCTCAGAGTTCGCCAAAAAGCCTTGGAGACAGGCCAGGAAACAGATTAGGGGTGGAATGAGATTCTACACCGAATGTTTTACCTCTGCTTTGTCCAGAGCTGTGCTGTTGTCGCTCCCTGCCCTTGCCCCTTGTTAACGGGAAAATCCAAGGGCTCCCTTGGACAAAAACAAAGACACCAACCAGGATAATTTGGAGCAAAACAGCAGCCTATAGGCTTGGCCTTTATTGAACTGTTGCAACAGGGTGCTCCCCTCACTTGCAGGAGAGAGGAAGGACCCAGAAAGATGGTGTGCAAGACCTTATAAAAACTTTTGAAATTGCCACCCTGTAGATCAAGACCACCCCCAGAAACATCATACATACATCACAGAAGGGGTGTAACCTAAGACCACCTCCCCCAGATACATCACACCTGCATCACAGAAAAGGCGGTCTAAAACAGAAATTTGAATACTGTTTTTCTCCTGTTGTTGTTTATCTCCTGTCTGGCAGGTTACTTGATTGGATTGCCTGGGGAGCCTGGCCAGTCTTTTGTAATGATAAATACTTAGTTCCTGGGCCAGGTCACAGGCTCACACCCTATTCAAACACAGACATACCCTTAAGACAGGATTTGTGAAGGAAAAGACAATCGGGAGGCTTTTCCAGTTTGACCTTGCAGAGAAAACATTGGCTCAGTTTAGGAATCAAAATGGTTCCAGGTTGGCCTTCCTGTGCTGATCTATGTATGTGCTTGATTGGTATAGTTATGAACATTACCATATATCTAATGGACTCAAGGGCAACCTGATCAAATTTGCAGATGACACCAAACTGGGAGGGGTGGCTAACACCCCAGAGGACAGGATCACACTTCAAAACGACCTTGACAGATTAGAGAACTGGGCCAAAACAAACAAGATGAATTTTAACAGGGAGAAATGTAAAGTATTGCACTTGGGCAAAAAAAATGAGAGGCACAAATACAAGATGGCTGACACCTGGCTTGAGAGCAGTACATGTGAAAAGGATCTAGGAGTCTTGGTTGACCACAAACTTGACATGAGCCAACAGTGTGACGCGTCAGCTAAAAAAGCCAATGCAATTCTGGGCTGCATCAATAGGAGTATAGCATCTAGATCAAGGGAAGTAATAGTGCCACTGTATTCTGCTCTGGTCAGACCTCACCTGGAGTCCAGTTCTGGGCACCACAGTTCAAGAAGGACACTGACAAACTGGAAGGTATCCAAAGGAGGGCAACCAAAATGGTCAAAGGCCTGGAAACGATGCCTTATGAGGAACGGCTAAGGGAGCTGGGCATGTTTAGCCTGGAGAAGAGGAGGTTAAGGGGTGATATGATAGCCATGTTCAAATATATCAAAGGATGTCACATAGAGGAGGGAGAAAGGTTGTTTTCTGCTGCTCCAGAGAAGTGGACACGGAGCAATGGATCCAAACTACAAGAAAGAAGATTCCACCTAAACATTAGGAAGAACTTCCTGACAGTAAGAGCTGTTTGACAGTGGAATTTGCTGCCAAGGAGTGTGGTGGAGTCTCCTTCTTTGGAGGTCTTTAAGCAGAGGCTTGACAACCATATGTCAGGAGTGCTCTGATGGTGTTTCCTGCTTGGCAGGGGGTTGGACTCAATGGCCCTTGTGGTCTCTTCCAACTCTATGATTCTATGATTCTATGATTCTAAGACCATAAAATTCCTATCACACCCTCGTGATCGAACATCTCCATTTGCAGACGAGAAATCAAGAGTGGGGGGAACTTCAGAGGCTGGGGAAAACAACCAGTTGCGCTGCTGATTCAGCCTCTATTTGGCAAGCAGCAGCCATTTCTCTCCCAGAATGCTTCTTGGAATAACAAAGCAGCGAAAACGGATCCCTGAAACCGGGGGCTGATTTGGTGAATGGACATGAAAATTTGCTGAGATTTTGGAGCGCGGCTGTAGTCCTTGTTGCACTCAAAGGGATGCCCTCAGATTCCTGGGTGTACTCTTTAGTGAAAAAGGGCAGAGGGACTTCTCGGTGGTGGCGCCCGCCCTGTGGAATGCCCTCCCGTCAGATATCAAGGAAATAAACAACTATCTGACTTTTAGAAGACCTCTGAAGGCAGCCCTGTTTAGGGAAGTTTTTAATGTTTGATATTTTATCACCTCTTCTTCTTCTTCTTCTTCTTCTTCTTCTTCTGCTGCTGCTGCTGCTGCTGTTGGGAACTGCCTGGAGTCCAGGCTGGGGAAACCCAGCCAGATGGGTGGGGTATAAATAAATTATTATTATTATTATTATTATTATTAGTCTCTTAGAAGTGTCATATGGAGGCACTGAAAGTCAGGGAACAGAAAACCATAGGGACATTGTTGAAGTGCCATTATTAATTAATTAATTAATTAATTAATTAAATTTGCATACCGCCCTATACCCTTGGGTCTTAGGGCAGTTGACAAAACAAAGTTACAATATGAAAATACCAAAATACATAATAAAAATAATTAGAATGGTTAACAATACCAAAGAATACAAACCCATAAAAATACACACACACACCCAACAAAAGCCCCTCCGCAAATACAACCCCCCAGCCCACAAGTACAAAAACAAGAATCCAAATTAACATGCAGTTGTACCTTGGATCCCAAACGCGTTGTGAGTTGAACATTTTGGCTGCCGAACGCTGCAAACCTGGAAGTGAGTGTTCCGGTTTGCGAACGTTCTTTGGAACCTGAACGTCCGATGGAAGCCGTGCCTTGGTTGTCGTACCTTGGAAGTCAAATGGAATCCATTCCAGAAGTCCATTCGACTTCCTAAACGTTTGGAAACCAAAGCACGGCTTCTGATTGGCTGCAGGAAGTTCCTGCAGCCAATTGGAAGCCGAGCCGGACGTTCGGCTTCCAAAAGAACGTTCATGAACCAGAGCACTCACTTCCAGGTTTTAATCGTTTGAGAGCCAAGGCGTTCGAGATCCAAGGTATGACTGTATGCCTTTTAAGCGTTCCCCCGCTCGATACTATATGGAATTGAGTGATAACCAACCCTGGAAAGCCTTGTCAAGATCTTATCGACTATGATTACCATATTTTTCGCATCATAAGACACACCTGACCATAAGACGCATCTAGTTTTTAGAGGAGGAAAGGGGGAAAACCCCTTTTTTTGAGGATCAGCTCAAACTTGTTGAGCTTACTTTGCAAACGGAAAAAATCCTGTTTTTATGGGGTTCAACTCACAGTTTTGCAGCTTCTTTAGGAAAGGAAAGGGAGCCGTTTCTACAGTTTCCAGACAGATAATCTAATCAGCCAGTCATATGTCGCTGGGGAAACAAACAGCCTCTGTCTGCAGAACATTCAACAATGGAGGCCTGGGCAAGGGGCCGGGGCTGGAAAGGGAGCCAGCGATTGACCACACATTCGCTCCATAAGACGCACAGACATGTCCCCTTACTTTTTAGGAGGAAAAAGGTGCGTCTTATGGAGCGAAAAATATGGTATTTTCCAGAACTGAGCTCTGCTTTGACCTTGAGTAAGTGACAACTAAAGGATTGACTTAGAAGGGACCCACAACTAATTAGAAACACCAGATTTCCCCCTAGGTATCCGCTCTTGAGGGCATTTTAGACCTAGTTATCTGACCAAACTCCCACCAAACTTCCTTAAGAAATACCTTTACTGAGCTGTTTTTCCATGTGACGCCAACCGCAGTCTTAGACGACAACTACAACAAAATCCCGTACACAGACAGACGTCGTATTTGCGGTCAACCTGAGGTGGAAGAAATTACTCAGTAACTGTTTGTTGTTGTTTAGTCGTTTAGTCGTGTCCGACTCTTCATGACCCCATGGACCAGAGCACGCCAGGCACTCCTGTCTTCCACTGCCTCCCGCAATTTGGTCAAACTCATGCTGGTAGCTTCGCGAACACTATCCAACCATCTCGTCCTCTGTCATCCCCTTCTCCTTGTGCCCTCCATCTTTCCCAACATCAGGGTCTTTCCCAGGGTGTCTTCTCTTCTCATGAGGTGGCCAAAGTATTGGAGCCTCAGCTTCACTGTTAGTTTGCCCCTTATATAGAGAGACCTAGGAGATCGCTTTCTGAAACCTTTGTACACAAAAGGAAGCAGGTTGCGTCGCAGCAGAAATGGTCCAGTTTCTTTTGAGTGACAATAATCGCTTTGTAACACAGCAAATGCCCTTCTGTGCACTGGTTGCAAACAAACAAGCAAACGAAGAACAGGAAAAAGGAGTTAGATAAAATCAATGTAAATAGTTGTGGAGATTCGGAGATTTAATCTGAAATGAAGCTGGATTTGAGTTTGTTGGTTTCTCTGATAACTTTCCCCTTACATCCTGGAAGTTGGCTCATATTATGGATGTGTGATCTGTATTGTTTTATTGGCACTGCTGTAGCTGCGGGTTTGTCGCAGGCTTTGGCTAGAATGATAAACTTGTATTGAACTAGTTACAGGTAGGTAGCCATGTTGGTCTGCCGTAGTCGAAACAAAATAAAAAGATTCCTTCCAGTAGCAGCTTAGAGACCAACTAAGTTTGTTATTGGTATGAGCTTTCGTGTGCATGCACACTTCTTCAGATACACTGAATATACTTCTTCAGACACACTGTGTATCTGTAGATATGCTGGAACGAGGCTGTTTAGGGCTTTAAAGGTCAGCACCAACATTTTGAATTGTGCTTGGAAACGTACTGGGAGCCAATGTAGGTCTTTCAGGACCAGTGTTATGTGGTCTCGACGGCTACTCCCAGTCCCCAGTCTAGCTGCTGCATTCTGGATTAGTTGTAGTTTCCAGGTCACCTTCAAAGGTAGCCCCACGTAGAGCGCATGGCAGTAGTCCAAGCAGGAGATAACTAGAGCATGCACCACTCTGGTGAGACAGTCCATGGGCAGGGAGGGTCTCAGTCTGCATACCAGGTGGAGCTGGTAGACAGCTGCCCTGGACACAGAACTGACCTGCGCTTCCATGGACAGCTGTGAGTCCAAAATGACTCCTAAATGACATGTGTCTTCATCGGCCTTATCCTGGAGCATGTTCAGCTCTTCTCTGGTCGGTTTTCAATAGCTCAAACACCCTGTAAGCTCCTTCTTGAGGAAGCCACAGGCAACTTGTAAGAGGCCAAGAGGCATAACACTCTAAATGAGATCCAAGGGGAAAGAGAGAATGCTTATGGCAAACCCCAGAAGTGACAGCAACATGTTTCCTCCTTCCTCCCATCCCAGATTCCGAGATGCTTCCAGTTTGCTCATAGCAGATATTCTGATGAGGATTTGCCTGCCATCTACCTACAGCAGGGCCATTTAAATCAGGGAATTCCCGAGCGCCAAACGAAGGGGAAATCTGGGTACATATTATAACCTAAGGATTAGGAATTAGCAATGTCTGCTTGAAAATTATCTTTCTCTGACTTTTATCATGTGTGGTGGACTTGTGATAAAGTTAAAGCATTTGGGGAATTGATCTACAATGAATTAAAGAAGATGTTCAGATATACTTTCCCCAAAAATCCGGAAGCATTTTTGCTAGGCTTGATGGGAAATGATATTTCAAAGACTATTTATGTACGCCACAGTTGCAGCAAGAACTTTGTTGGCCCAAAAATGGAAATTACAATAAATACCTACCATTGCGGAGTGGCAGGTGAAGATGATGGACTTTGCTGAATTGGCCAAGCTGACCTGCAGGATCCAAGACCAGGACAATAAGAAATTCCAAAGAGACTGGAGTAAATCTATTGTATATTTGAATGATAATTGTAAAAATTTGAAGACACTAGCAGGATTGAAGTAAATCCTGCAATGTAGACATATAGTAAAGAGTTAGATTGCACGAGGAAGGAGGGAAGTCGTAAGCTTGGCAGAGCAAAAAAGGGTTTTTATGTGGATCGATGTATTGTTGAGAAAGCTGTTTAAAGGAAAATATTTTTTTATATAAAAAAAAGGAAGAAAATTATCTTTCTCTGCTATTGCCCCACTGTTCCCCTCCAACCGCACCAAAGATGTATCCATTGCTCAAAGGAGATTGACTGCTCTCTGCTGACTCCAGTGAAGTCAAGCCACTCATGCTTTCATCAAGCTAAGCTGGGACAAGCCATGTGAGGAACAAGTGAGGAAGGTCCAGGCAAGATGGGCAAAGTCAGGGCCAAAACCCTTACGCAGGAAGGCAAGCAAAAGCAGCACCTTGAACAGCACCCAGCCATCAAGGTCTGGATAGGGAACAAGATCCACACTGGGCAAGGGATTTGGGGTGGCGCTGTGGGTAAAACCACAGAGCCTAGGACTTGCTGATCAGAAGGTCGGCAGTTCGAATCCCTGCGATGGGGTGAGCTCCCATTGCTCAGTCCCTGCCCCTGCCAACCTAGCAGTTCAAAAGCACGTCAAAATGCAAGTAGATAAATAGGTCCCGCTCCGGTGGGAAGGTAAACGGCTTTTCTGTGCGCTGCTTTGGTTCGCCAGACGCGGCTTAATCCTGCTGGCCACATGACCCGGAAGCTGTTCGCCGGCTCCCTCGGCCAGTAAAGCGAGATGAGCGCCGCAACCCCAGAGTCGGTCACGACTGGACCTAATGGTCAGGGGTCCCTTTACCTTTACTATTCAGATTTCCGATTGGGAAAGGTTATGGAAAATGGATTTGAAATTCACGGCACACACCTCTGGATGCCGGTATCTGTCACCCAGCGAGAATCAGCCCTACGCCTGAGCCGGCCAGCGAGGAAACTCGAAGCCACCTTGCAGCAGTGCGGGACCCGGGCCGTCAAATGTTAGCGAGTTTTTTGCTCTACCTGCAATGTAATTATACGTGAGATTAAGTGGGGGGGGTATACCTTTCATTTAATCAACAGCTCAGCTCCGTTCGAAGCCTGTGGCGCACTCCTTTGCTGAAGGCAGGAGCCCCCCCAAAAAAAACAACAACAGGCATCTGTGTCACCACTCAGAGCTCTTAATTACTAGCCGTCTCCTGCAGGGTGGGCACAAAGAGGAACAGCCAAGTTTCCTCCCTCTGAGCAATCCTTTCTTACCTTCTATGGAGGAGAAGCCAGTAATGTCAGCCTTAAAAGCATAATTCTCCCATTAGCTTCTAAAACCCAGGGCCCCTGGAACTGTGACAATTAGAACCAGCGGGCTTTGATCTCCCATCAAAGAGCATGCCCCACACCCAGTGCGACGCTCAGTCAGCCCCTTCCAGTGAAAGATACCCCTTCTGCTTCCTCCATGATGATTTACTATTTCTTCTGCACTTCCTACTTTTGAAGTTCACTGTACTTTGGTCTGTTTCCGATGCCAGACCAACTCAGGGACGACTGCTACTGAAGGGATGACTGCAGGGACGACTGCAAATGAGCATAATTGTGATGGCCTGGGAATCGGATTCAGAGGCTGAACCTAAGGAATCCCAGCCTGCACAGGAGTCCCCGCCTCCAGGACCAGCTGAGCCGGGGCTGGGGCATGAGCCTGAAGGGTCCTCACCTGTGCTGGATCCTCAGGTGCAGGCACCAGCTAAGTCTGCTCTGGCTCCTGAGGTGATGGAGGACCCATTGCCTGCAGGTGCTCCACTCTCAGCCCCATCAGGGGAAGGTGAGGTTGCCTCTGGGTCCGGTAACACTCCAGCCTTTCCTGAGCTGCAGAGGCTCAGGGCAGAGAGGCGGAGGGAACTACCGATGTTCCTGCATAGGGCACTTTTCCCTCCAAAATGAAGGAAATGTGTCTGTTGGGCGATGTAGCTGCTGATGCCTCGAGCGAGGCATCGTGCGCCGACTCTCGCTCTCAGGCTCAGGAAGCTATCCGCAAGCCTTGCAAGCCCGGTGGGAGTTCCACGCTCACAAGGCTTGCAGGCAGCAGCCTGCAGCCCGGCAGTGTCCGCAGCCTCGGCAGGAGGTCCGCCGGCAGCGAGGTGGCAGCAGCTGTCGCAGCACGGGGCCTCCGGAGGCTCCCGTGCTTCAGCGTGCCGCACTGCGCCCAGCAGGAGGTCCCGCCCGGCGCGCAGGCTGGGCGGCAGCATGTCGCGAGCACGGGAGCCTCCGAGGGCTCCCGTGCGGAGTGTCTGCGCTGCCCGGCAGGAGGTCCCGCCCGGCGCGCAAGGCTTGGGGCTGCAGCTTGTCGCCCGAAGCACGGGAGCCCTCCGGAGGGCTCCCGTGCTCGGGCGAGTGTCCGCAAGCCTTGCGCGCCCGGCAGGAGGTCCCGCCCGGCGCGCAAGGCTTGGGCTGCAGCCTGTCGCCGAAGCACGGGAGCCCTCCGGAGGGCTCCCGTGCTTCGGGCGAGTGTCCGCAAGCCTTGCGCGCCCGGCAGGAGGTCCCGCCCGGCGCGCAAGGCTTGGGGCTGCAGCTGTCGCCCGAAGCACGGGGAGCCCTCCGGAGGGCTCCCGTGCTTCGGGCGAGTGTCTGCAAGCCTTGCGCGCCCGGCAGGAGGTCCCGCCCGGCGCGCAAGGCTTGGGGCTGCAGCTGTCGCCCGAAGCACGGGAGCCCTCCGGAGGGCTCCCCGTGCTCGGGCGAGTGTCCGCAAGCCTTGCGCGCCCGGCAGGAGGTCCCGCCCGGCGCGCAAGGCTTGGGGCTGCAGCTTGTCGCCCGAGCACGGGAGCCCTCCGGAGGGCTCCCGTGCTTCGGGCGAGTGTCCGCAAGCCTTGCGCGCCCGGCAGGAGGTCCCGCCCGGCGCGCAAGGCTTGGGGCTGCAGCTGTCGCTCGAAGCACGGGAGCCCTCCGGAGGGCTCCCGTGCTCGGCGAGTGTCCGCAAGCCTTGCGCGCCCGGCAGGAGGTCCCGCCCGGCGCGCAAGGCTTGGGCTGCAGCTTGTCGCCCAAGCACGGGAGCCCTCCGGAGGCTCCCGTGCTTCGGGCGAGTGTCCGCAGCCTTGCGCGCCCGGCAGGAGGTCCCGCCCGGCGCGCAAGGCTTGGGGCTGCAGCTTGTCGCCCGAAGCACGGGAGCCCTCCGAGGGCTCCCTGCTTCGGGCGAGTGTCCGCAAGCCTTGCGCGCCCGACAGGAGGTCCCGCCCGGCGCGCAAGGCTTGGGGCTGCAGCTGTCGCCGAAGCACGGGGAGCCCTCCGGAGGGCTCCCGTGCTTCGGGCGAGTGTCTGCAAGCCTTGCGCGCCTGGCAGGAGGTCCGCCGGCGCCAGGCATGCGGCTGCTCTGTCGCCCGAGGTGAGCCCTCGGAGGCTCCCCGTGCTCGGCAGGTGCTCCAGCCTCGCAGCGCCCGTGGAGGTCCCGCCGGCGCGAGGCTGGGAGGTAGCCTGCCGCCCGGTCACGCGAGGCCTGGCGGCAGCCGCGGGGGGATAATTTTTTCATTGCCCCAAAGAGGTGCGTCCAGGACCGGTCAGTCATAGAGCGAAGATACGGTAAGTTCCTGCAGGAGGAGGGCTCGCCTCCAGGCCAGGAGAGGTGAGTCACCTGTGGACCGGGGCCGCCCTATGCCTCGGGGCAGATAAAAGCCAGCCAGCCCAGGCGCAGGTTGCAGTAACCTGTTCCTGCCGGCACCCTGTCCTGCTCTTCTGCCAGAGCTCCTGACCTCACCCGACTCCTTGCCTTGGACCCCGCTTCAGCCTTGACGGACAGCCTCTATACCACACCCTCAACCTCAGACTGGACTCGGACCACGCCGCAAGGTAACCCCCTGGGACCAGCACAATAATGGTCACAAATCCAATGCATAATAATAATAATTAATAATTGCTCCTCCGCTTTCCTTTCAAGATGGCTGCGCTGAGCAAAATTATCCCATTTCTGAAAAATGCATGGGGAAAGGATCTAGTTGTCGTTCTCTCTTTCGGCATTGGTTTTATGGCTTTGGTGGCACTGTGGGTCAGTCCCTTAACAAAATACAGCGCCATGATGACCCAGGCTGTACCATATACTGTATTTTTCACTCTATGATGCACCAGACTATAAGACACACCTAGTTTTTGGAGGAGGAAAACAAGAAAAAAATATTCTGAATCTCAGAAGCCAGAACAGCAAGAGGGATCGCTGTGCAGTGAAAGCTGTTCTGGCTTCTGGGATAGCTGCGCAGCCTGCATTCGCTCCGTAAGACGCACACACATTTCCCCTTACTTTTTAGGAGGGGAAAAGTGAGTCTTATAGAGCAAAAAATACAGTACATATCCAGCTCCAGTTTGGGATGATGGCAATATGCCAGGTATTCCCTCCCACATTTGTGACAAGGAAGGACCAAGTCTTGAATGGCTAAAGAACTTCTGAGACGGACCCTTGTGATGAAGAGGCCTAGAGAACCAACACTGAAGGGACAACCCGGGCCTGCACTGCTCTCTGCTCTTTTGTGTACATGTGTAACATTTTCAGGATATAATAAACTTGCTAACTTAAAAAACAATAATAATTTATTATTTGTACCCACCTCTATTTGTACCCACCTCTTACAAAATTATTATTTGTAATCCACCTCTATCCTTTGCATCTGTTAGTATTTTAAATTTTATTCTAGGCTTCTTGCCCTGCCAGACAAATCTAGAAATATCTCTCTGCCACCTCTTGAAACAGTCCATTTTGTCCACAATTTGCAATGTTTGAAACAAAAACAACATTCTAGGCAATACATTCATTTTTACAGCAGCAATACGACCCAGCAGTGAAAGCTTCAAGTTTGACCAAATTTCTAAGTCTTTTTTCACTTCAGCCCAACATCTTTCATAGTTATCTTTGAATAAATTCCCATTTTTTGCTGTCAAGTTAATCCAGAGAATATTGAGAAGCAAAGTGGCTAGTAAGCCTGATATTTATTAAAGGAAATAAACTGTTGCAACAGGGTCACCATTCACCATATGCAGGAGGGAGAGAACAACAACAACAACAACAACAACAACAACAACAACAACAACAACAATTTATTATTTGTACCCCACCCATCTGGCTGGGTTTCCCCAGCCACTCTGGGCGGCTTCCAACAAAGATTAAAAATACATTAAAATGCCACACATTAAAAACTTCCCTGAACAGGGCTGCCTTCAGATGTCTTCTAAATGTCAGGTAGTTGTTTATTTCCTTGACATCTAGTGGGAGGGAATTCCACAGGGCGGGCGCCACCACCAAGAAGGCCCCCTGCCTGGTTCCCTGTAGCTTTGCTTCTCGCAGTGAGGGAACCACCAGAAGGCCCTCGGCGCTGGACCTCAGCATCCGGGCAGAACGAGGGGGGTGGAGACTCTCCTCATTCATGATTGCCACTATCTATAAGAGATCCAGTTGCAGCAGACTTAACTTAAACTTACAAGAACTTATAATAAGTCTAAACCTTGACACTATAGCACACCATGCACAAAACACCACACCAGAAGGAAAAGAGATAGAAAGAGAAAGTGAACCCCAGGCTCCTTCTGGCCTTACTTTTATAGTCAGTGTGACCTTGACAGAAGAGATAACAGAACCAGTTTAAACCAGCTGTACTCAGCTTCTCGGAAGGAATAACCCAAACATCATGAACTTTCTTCTTGTTTCTTTCACACAGAGGAGCTTCCAGAACCCTCTTGAATTAAGTAGGAAAGATCTCTACACATCACATCAATACTTTCTGCACTAAAAATGCAAACGAACACAGTGATGGGCATGGGGGCGGATCTCAGATTTCAGTGGTGGTTGGTGCAATGCTAAAATTTGGCACATCCTGTCTCTCACACTCTGTTTTAAATAATACTTGGGGTGTCCCCAGCAGCACCCCTGAGGCTCTGCGCCAGTGCGACTGAACCAGTCACGCTCCCCTAAATCCACCTCTGATTAGAAAAATTCACGGAGGAGAGGGTTATCGAAGGCTGCTGGCCCTTCACAGTGTTGTAAACAAAATCTGCCCCTTTTCCCTTATAGGGTATCCAAGAGCCCATATAGAGTCCTTACGTGGGTTCCCTATTGGTAGGAGAAAATAACAGAGGCCAACCAGAGAATATTGAGAAGCAAAGCAGCTCGTAAGCCTGATCATTATTGATCTGTTGCAACAGGGTGCTCCCCTCACACGCAGGAGAGAGGAGGACCCCGAAGAAAGGTGTGCCCACCCTTATATAGACATTTTAAATTCTCTGCCTTGGAACTCAAGACCACCCCTCCATACATCATACCTACATCACAGAAGGGGTATAGCTCAAGACCATCACCCCCAGATACATCTTACCTACATCACAGAAAAGGCAGTCTACAACAGAAATCTGAGTGTGTTGTTTAACTCTTGTCTGGCAGGTTCTCTGATAATGCCTTATCGGATTGCCTGGTTATTACCCGCTTCCTGAGACAATGGGAAAGTTTCCTTACCCCCTCCTTGCAGAGAAAACATTTGGTCAGTTTGGGAGTCAAAATGGTTTCAGGAATGTCTTCCTGTGCTGCTCCAGACATTGGTACATTTATGAACATTTATTATATATATATATATGACCTTAAAATTCTTATAACAATTGCAAGAGGAAGCAATTCTTCTGACTCCCAGTTGCTGGAAACCACAGGAAGGGAGAAAGCAAAGCTCCCCTTCCTCTCTCATCAGAGAAGAGGGGGCGTGACTTAGCTGAGTCTAGGAATTCAGCCCTATGACCTTAACTCTTCCGTGCACTTACTAACCCTGTGCTTGCTAGTTGTATTTGACTGCAGTTTCCTGCACAAATAGTGTTTAATGGGGATTCACAGGTGGGTCGAATGACGTGCACAGGGGACCTGCTTTTTCACTCCCCACAGGAATCTGGTTGGCCCCTGGGCTAGATGTGCCACCGGCCTGATCCAGCAACTGCTCTTACATTGCCAGCCACCATTCTCAGTCTGCCGGCAATGCTGGAGCCTCTATTCTGGGCCTCTCTGTTATGCTCTGTTATTTATTTAAAAGATTTATAAGCTGCCCTTCCTCGGGACAGATACCAGAACATTTGCACAACATACAGATAAGCAGCAATCGCACACAGAACCAAGAACAAACAAACAGAGGAAATCGTCGGGAACGGTTGGAGTTTGCAAAGCAGTAGAAGCTTGAAATGCTCGTGCCCGGAATTATTTTTTCAGCCCCCTAATTTATCGGGGGACGCGGGTGGCGCTGTGGGTTAAACCACAGAGCTTAGGACTTGCCAATCAGAACGTCGGCGGTTCGAATCCCCACGACGGGGTGAGCTCCTGTTGCTCAGTCCCTGCTCCTGCCCACCTAGCAGCTCGAAAGCACGTCAAAGTGCAAGTAGATAAATAGGCAACCCTCCGGCGGGAAGGTAAACGGTGTTTCCGTGCACTGCTCTGGTTCCCCAGAAGCAGCTTAGTCATGCTGGCCACATGACCCGGAAGCTGTACGCCAGCTCCCTCGGCCAATAAAGCGAGATGAGCGCCGCAACCCCAGAGTCGGCCACGACTGGACCTAATGGTCAGGGGTCCCTTTACCTTTACCTAATTTATGGGGAAAGTTGTGATTTGCTGTTGCTGCTGTTAAACTTTTGAGAGTCAGAAGCTCTCACCAATCTGCCCCAAAAACAGTGGCTGAGCACCGCTCCCGCCACAAGCAGGATATCGCCTGCGGTGTGTCAGAAGCCCCCAGGACAGGGAGTGCTGTGGCAGGTCAGGATTGCACCCTGCAATTAGTAACGAAAGCACCTCGCAGAAATTGCTCCTGGTAAACGCCAGATTTATTTTCTCCCCTTTGGTGTTGCGGAGCAGCTATTTTTAAAATATAGATTCAGAGAGAGAGAGATCTGTATCTCTATATCTGTGCACGCAGATAATTATATCTAGTCCACGATGATGAAAAGGTATTTAGATGCTTTGAGGAAGGAGGATTTGAAGTTCTAAATCTTCAGAAGATAGCATCACTGCCGGGGCTTGCCAGGGGAGTCGACTTCTGTCACATGCGCCGAGAGATAAACAGGTTACTGAGCGCCAAAGATTAAAGGCTCTTTGCAGGGGGCTTCGCACTCAGTCATGAACTTACCTCGGACTCAAAGGGCAGTGACCAGTGCAAACCCCAGTCTGCTCCCTTCCCTCATCCTCCCTGCATCTGCTTGCTCCTTCTACCTGCGTAGTGTTACCGGAAAAATCCGAGGGCTCCCTTGGACAAAAACAAAGACACCAACCAGGATAACTTGGAGCAAAACAGCAGCCTGTAGGCTTGGCCTTTATTGAACTGTTGCAACAGGGTGTTCCCCTCACTTGCAGGAGAGAGGAAAGACCCAGAAAGATGGTGTGCAAGACCTTATAAAAACTTTTGAAATTCCCATCCTCTAGGTCAAGCCCACCCCCAGAAACATCATGCATACATTACAGAAAGGAGGGGTTGACATCATGCATACATTACAGAAAGGAGGGGTTGAGGGAGGAGTTGTGGTGGTAACCTGAGTGTCCTGTCACCTGGCTGGTTCCTCCTTTCCCCCTGCCCATGAGTCACTTCCAGGAGACACTTCCAGGGGAGTTGGCAGTTTCCTGCCCCCAGAGGGAAGATCTGATCATTGTCCTTTCTTTCAGTCCATGCTGAATCCACTCCCATATGCAAGTTCTTTGTGATCTTGATGGTCTTCTGTCTAGGACCATCAGGGTTGGCATAGCAACTGGGCAGGGCTCCTGTGGATGTGCTGGGATGGTGAAGGGATTATGGCTGACCAGAACCAAGCCACCCCCCTTTGATAGTCCTTGTCATATGGAGTAAAATAAAAATGGAACAGTGCAAATCCGATGTATGGTTGATTTTTCTATGAATTTATAACAGAAGTGTGGCATATGTAGTGTGTGAGTGTGAGTGTGTGAAGTTTGTACAAACTGAATCATTGGGGTGGGGGGGTTCCTGCTACAGTAGGTAGCTGTGTCCTCCAGCAGAGCCAACCCATTGCTCCTTGTCTTTTTAATATCTATATGAAGCCGCTGGGAGAGATCATCAGAGGGTTTGGGCTGGGTGTTCATCAGTATGCAGATGACACCCAGCTCTACCTCTCCTTTAAATCAGAACCAGTGAAGGTGGTGAAGGTCCTGTGTGAGTGCCTGGAGGCGGTTGGAGGATGGATGGCGGCTAACAGATTGAGGTTGAATCCTGACAAGACAAAAGTACTGTTTTGGGGGAATAGGAGGCGGGCAGGGGGGGGTGCCCTGGTCCTGAATGGGGTAACTGTGCCCCTGAAGGACCAGGTGTGCAGCCTGGGAGTCATTGTGGACTCACAGCTGTCCATGGAGGCACAGGTTAATTCTGTGTCCAGGGCAGCTGTCTACTAGCTCCATCTGGTATGCAGGCTGAGACCCTACCTGCCTGCAGACTGTCTGGCCAGAGTGGTCCATGCTCTGGTTATCTCCCGCTTAGACTACTGCAACGCGCTCTACGTGGGTGACCCGGAAACTGCAATTAATCCAGAATGCGGCAGCTAGACTGGTGACTGGGAGTGGCCGCCGGGACCATATAACACCGGTCCTGAGAGATCTGCATTGGCTCCCAGTACGTTTTCGAGCACAATTCAAAGTGTTGGTGCTGACCTTTAAAGCCCTAAACAGCCTCGGTCCAGTATACCTGAAGGAGCGTCTCCACCCCCATCGTTCAGCCCGGACACTGAGATCCAGCGCCGAGGGCCTTCTGGCAATTCCCTCATTGCGAGAAGTGAGGTTACAGGGAATCAGACAGAGGGCCTTCTTGGTAGTGGCGCCCGCCCTGTGGAACGCCCTCCCTTCAGATGTGAAGGAAATAAGCAGCTATCCTATCTTTAAAAGATTTCTGAAGGCAGCCCTGTTTAGGGAAGTTTTTAATATTTAACACTGTACTGTTTTTAACATTTGATTGGGAGCCGCCCAGAGTGGCTGGGGAAACTCAGCCAGATGGGTGGGGTATAAATAATAAATTATTATAATATTATTATTATTGTCTTGCTTTGCGGGACAAGAACACCGGTAGTCTGAGCCGACGAGCTCAGTGGGTAGACCATGAGAATCTTGATCTCCGGGTTGTGGGTTCGAGCCCTAAGCTGGGTAAAAGATTCCTGCGTCTCAGGGGGTTGGGTTAGGTGACTCTCGTGTGCTGTAAAGAATTCTAAGGTCTCAAATACAAAATCAAATGTTCATACATATACCAGGCAAACACATACATGAGTATATAAACCATGTGTCTGAAACAGTACAGTGGTACCTCGGGTTAAGTACTTAATTCGTTCCAGAGGTTCGTTCTTAGCCTGAAACTGTTCTTAACCTGAAGCACCACTTTAGCCAATGGGGCTTCCTGTTGCCGCCGCACCGCCGTTGTGCGATTTCTGTTCTCAGCCTGAAGCAAAGTTCTTAACCTGAGGTAATATTTCTGGGTTAGCGGAGTCTGTAACCTGAAGCATCTGTAACCTGAGGCCTATGTAACCTGAGATACCACTGTAAAGGTAAAGGTAAAGGTAAAGGGATCCCTGACCATTAGGTCCAGTCGTGGCCGACTCTGGGATTGCGGCGCTCATCTCGCTTTACTGACCGAGGGAGCCGGCGTTTGTCCGCAGACAGTTTTTCCGGGTCATGTGGCTAGCATGACTAAGCCACTTCTGGCGAACCAGAGAAGTGCACGGAAACGCCATTTACCTTCCACTTTGACGTGCTTTCGAACTCCTAGGTTGGCAGGAGCAGGGACCGAGCAACGGGAGCTCACCCCATCGCAGGGATTCGAACCGCCGACCTTCTGATTGGCAAGCCCTAGGCTCTGTGGTTTAACCCACAGCGCCACCCGCGTCCCATGTCTGAAATAGTACAGGAGAGCCATTTTGACTCTCCCAAATTGACCTCAAATATTTCTCTGCAAGGAGGAAGGAAATGAGAAAGCCTCTCCATTGTCTTTTGCTTACAAATCCTTTCATGATAATAATAATAATAGTAATAATAATAATAATAAATAATTTTATTTATACCCTGCCCTCCCCGGCCAAAACCCGGCTCAGAGTGGCTAACATCAGCTATATAACATATCAACATAAAATCAAGCAATCAATTAAAATACATCAAATCAGGATCAAAGTGAAATCCAATCACATGGCAACCCGCAGATTAGGGTTGGGGACATTAAATGCTCAGCAGGCCTAGCTGTTTATGAGCCTGTGAGAAAAATTAGGGGGCCATTTTCATGTAAGTTTTTATAAGGAGAGAGGGTGGAGTCAGGCGTATTTGTGGGCGTATTTGTATATGAATAGGGTGAGCCTGTGACCTGGATTCAGGAAATAAAAGTATTTACCATCACAAAAGAACGGCCAGGCTGCCCAGGTAAAGCAATCAGTGACCGTTATCAGGTATCCTGGCAAACAGGATTTCTGCTGCAGACCGCCTCCTTCTGTGATGCATGTATGATGTTTTTTTTGGGGGGTGTCTTGGGCTACAGGTTTGGCGATCTCAAAAGTCTATATAAGGGCTTGTGCACCGTTGCTCAGAGTTCTCCGAGCACAATTCAAAGTGTCGGTGTTGACCTTTAAAGCCCTAAACGGCCTCGGCCCAATATACCTGAAGGAGCGCCTCCACCCCCATCGTCCAGCGCTGAGGTCCAGCGCTGAGGGCCTTCTGGCGGTTCCCTCACTGCGAGAAGCAAAGCTACAGGGAACCAGGCAGAGGGCCTTCTTGGTAGTGGCGCCCGTCCTGTGGAACGCCCTCCCATCAGATGTCAAAGAGATAAAGAACTACCTGTCATTTTAGAAGACATCTGAAGGCAGCCCTTTTCAGGGAAGTTTTTAATGTGTGGCATTTTAATGTATTTTTCATCTTTGTTGGAAGCCGCCCAGAGTGGCTGGGGAGACCCAGCCAGATGGGTGGGGTACAAATAATAAATTGTTGTTGTTGTTGTTGTTGTTGTTGTTGTTGTTGTTGTTGTTGTTGTTCTCTCCCTCCTGCATATGGTGAATGGTGACCCTGTTGCAACAGTTTATTTCCTTTAATAAATATCAGGCTTACTAGCCACTTTGCTTCTCAATATTCTCTGGTTGGCCTCTGTTATTTTCTCCTACCAATAGGGAACCCACTTAAGGACTCTATACGGGCTCCTGGATACCCCATAAGAGAGAGGGAGGAGTTTTTCCCCCTTATAACACATGGCCACTTCCAGCTTTCTATGGTTCTATGTCCATGCCGCATATTTAAAATGCATAGGTTCCCCCAGAGAAGCCCAGGAAATGCAGATTCGTAGAATCATGACCCCTGACCATTAGGTCCAGTCGTGACCGACTCTGGGGTTGCGGCGCTCATCTCGCTTTACTGGCCAAGGGAACCAGTGTACAGCTTCCAGGTCATGTGGCCAGCATGACTAAGCCGCTTCTGGCGAACCAGAGCAGCGCACGGAAACACCTTTTACATTCACGCCGGAGCGGTACCTATTTATCTACTTGCACTTTGACGTGCTTTCGAACTCCTAGGTTGGCAGGAGCAGGGACTGAGCAACGGGAGCTCACCCCGTCACAGGGATTCGAACCACCAGCCTTCTGATCGGCAAGTCCAAGGCTCTGTGGTTTAACCCACAGCACCACCTGCATCCCTTGTTCGTAGAATCATAGAATTGTAGAATTGGAAGGGACCACAAGCCCCACTTCCTGCAATGCAGAAATCTTTTGCCCCATGTGGGACTTGAACCCGAGACCCAGAGATTAAGAGTCTCATGCTTTGCTGACTAATGTAGTTGCCCCCCCTTCACAGAGCTGCAGCCCCCAGCACCCTTAGCACACTATAGTTCCCAGGATTCACGAGGACATTTTTTTTTCCTTTTTCTTTTTAAAAGAAAAATCAATTGCAAACTGATGTGGAGATTGCAAGGAGGAAGGCGAGACGGGGGATGTTATTTTAAGACCGTAAAAATGAGAAACTGAAATTGACAGATACACCCGTCTCTAATTGTGACTGAGTAGCGAAAGGGGTGACCAAGACTGCTTCACAACCAATTATCTTTTTCCCAGGGCCTGCCCAAGAAGGCCTAATTTTTGCATAGAGTCAGTGAACAGGCATCAGATCACTTTTTCAATTATATAAGGTGACTTCTGTTTCAGTGTATCTGAAGAAGAAGTGTACATGCACACAAAAACTTATACCAAGAACAAACTTAGTTGGTCTCTAAGGTGCTACTGGACAATTTTTTTTATTTTTTTAATGTATTTTGACTGCGTCAGACCAACACGGCTACCTACCTGAATCTAGAACGTGCAAAAAAAATAAAAATACTTTGTGTGAAGGCCTGGGATTCGGACTCGGAGGCTGAACCTGAGGAATCCCAGCCTGCACAGGAGTCCCCGCCTCCAGAACCAGCTGAGCCGGGGCTGGGGCTTGAGCCTGAAGGGTCCTCACCTGTGCTGGGTCCCCAGGTGCAGGCACCAGCTGAGTCTGCTCTGGCCCCTGAGGTGATGGAGGACCCATTACCTGCAGGTGCTCCTCTCCCAGCCCTGTCAGGGGAATCTGAGGTTGCCTCTGGGTCCGGTAACCCTCCAGCCTCTCCTGAGCTTCAGAGGCTCAGGGCAGAGAGGCGGAGGGAACTAAGTTCCTGCACGAGGAGTGCTCGCCTCCAGGCCAGGAGAGGCAAGTCACCTGTGGACCAGGGCCACCCTATGCCTCGGAGCAGATAAAAGCCAGCCAGCCCCAGTGCCAAGCTGCGGGAGCAACGTTGTTGGTAGCCAGTGCCTGCCTGCATCCTGTCCTGCCGGAGCTCCTGACCTCGCCCGACTCCCTGCTTTGGACCCAGCCTCAGCTTTGACGGACAGCCTCAATACTGCACCCTCGACCTCGGACTGGACTTGGACTACGCCTCACGGAAAACTACGGGACCAGCACACTTTGTTTCACTCCTTGTGCCGCTGCTTCTCTGCTTGTCTATTTTGCGAATCCACCATAAATGAAGTTATGAATTTGTTGTGTCCAATGCCTTTAGCAATCAGCATTTTATACCTTCCCTGCCTTCGGACTAGGACCCCTCTGGACTGCTGCTGCTCTAGATGCCTTCCATGCCTAGGCAGCATCTCCTACCTAATTTCTGTGGGATGTGAAACACAGAGCAGTCAAGTACAATATCCCTAGAGTGGACATAAAAAGAGGATGTCTGGACCAGCCTGTCAGAACTTCCTGTTTCCTCCTAGGCTGGGACAGACTTCCTCTACATGTGACCAGAGGTGGGCGTGACCTTACCTATGCAGGTAACAAAATACCTCAGTGGAGGTCGCCATCTCTCTCTGACTACATTTGTCAAAGAAGCAACATCTTCCAGCCAAGAGGACAAAGGGGCTATCGCCTTATGGGATAGTTTCCAGGTATCTTACTTTTGCAACTTAAGTCTGCCTTCTGGGATCCATTTGTGAACAGAATGTGTGAGTATACTCTGGTGACAGCAGTCACAAAATTAAAAGACGCCTGCTTCTTGGGAGAAAAGCAATGACAAACCTAGACAGCATCTTACAAAAGCAAAGACATCACCTTGCCAACAAAGGTCCATACAGTTAAAGCTAAGGTTTTCCCAGTAGTGATGTATGGAGGTGAGAGCTGGACCATAAACAAGGCTGATCGCCGAAGTATTGACGCTTTTGAATTATGGTCTGGAGGAGACTCTTGAGAGTGCCATGGACTGCAAGAGGATCAAACCTCTCCATTCTGAAGGAAATCAGCCCTGAGTGCTCACTGGAAGGACAGATCCTGAAGCTGAGGCTCCAAGACTTTGGCCACCTCATGAGAAGAGAAGACTCCCTGGAAAAGATCCTGATGTTGGGAAAGATGGAGGGCACAAGGAGAAGGGGACAACAGAGGACGAGATGGTTGGACAGTGTTCTCGAAGCTACCAGCATGAGTTTGACCAAACTGCGGGAGGCAGTGGAAGACAGGAGTGCCTGGCATGCTCTGGTCCATGGGGTCACGAAGAGTCGGACACGACTAAACGACTAAACAACAACAACAATATATTTTTATAGAAGACTGTGTTATGTCTATCTTTTTATGGGGGACTAAAGGGGAAATTACCAAGGAAACTTATTTTAGAGGCTTTAGCGAGCCTGAGCAAACGCATCCACTGTGCAGGTTTAAAAGGGGGAATGTTACTCTGCTAAATTGTAGAACTTGTTAACACAAGTTGGAAAGGATGTAATCAAACAATATATCCTCTCCTGCATCCCTGAACATTCCCACAATTTCTCCCCTTGTCACAGCCTCGTTCCCCCTAATCAGCTTGACTGGGAGATGATGGCTCTTTTCTGGCCACTGAATTTACGAAACGCCAACAGCTGCCCCTTCGGCCATTCAACTTGCAACGCTTCAGATTGTTTTTAGAATCATAGAATCATAGAGTTGGAAGAGACCACAAGGGCCATCGAGTCCAACCCCCTGCCAAGCAGGAAACACCATCAGAGCACTCCTGACATATGGTTGTCAAGCCTCTGCTTCAAGACCTCCAAAGAAGGAGACTCCACCACACTCCTTGGCAGCAAATTCCACTGTCAAACAGCTCTTACTGTCAGGAAGTTCTTCCTAATGTTTAGGTGGAATCTTCTTTCTTGTAGTTTGGATCCATTGCTCCGTGTCCGCTTCTCTGGAGCAGCAGAAAACAACCTTTCTCCCTCCTCTATGTGACATCCTTTGATATATTTGAACATGGCTATCATATCACCCCTTAACCTCCTCTTCTCCAGGCTAAACATGCCCAGCTCTCTTAGCCGTTCCTCATAAGGCATCGTTTCCAGGCCTTTGACCATTTTGGTTGCCCTCCGCTGGACACGTTCCAGTTTGTCAGTGTCCTTCTTGAACTGTGGTGCCCAGAACTGGACACAGTACTCCTGATTTTGAGAAAGCAGGTCAGAGTACAGCCTGTTCACGACCTCCTCCAGCATACTAAGATAAAATCACAGAATCATATGGTCTGGAGGGTTCTTGAAGGTCATCTTGTCCTGCCTCCAATCAGTTCCTTCAATCTGACTCTGCCCAAATATGCCCACTGGAGGAGATTGATTGCTCCAGTAGGTAGGACCCGAACCAACTGCTTCAAGTTCCAAGAAAGGAGATTCTGACTAAACATAGGGAATAACTTTCTGACGGGAAGAGCTGTTGACAATGGAACGGACTCCCTCAGGAGGTCTTCCAGAGAGTCTTTAGCGGTGATTGCTGTACAGTGGTACCTCGGGTTAAGCACTTAATTCGTTCCGGAGGGCCTTACTTAACCTGAAACTGTTCTTAACCTGAAGCACCACTTTAGCTAATGGGGCCTCCTGCTGCTGCCGCGCTGCCGGAGCACAATTTCTGCTCTCATCCTGAAGCAAAGTTCTTAACCTCAAGCACTGTTTCTGGGTTAGTGGAGTCTGTAACCTGAAGCGTATGTAACCCGAGGCACCACTGTATTTGCAAGGAGTTGGCCTGGATAACCAAACTTGACTCAACAATTCTATGATTCTATGATCTATCTATTCCTTTTTGCTCTATCCCATCTCTCTCTCTCTCTCTCTCTCTCTCTCTCTCTCTCTCACCTGTGAGATTCCCCACTACTCATTATACACCAGTGTTCTGATCTCAAAAGTGCTTGAAGGGACCAGGCTTCACAATGCAAACCACCGTGCTGGCTAAATTTCAGAATTAGAAAAGAATAAAATCATGAGCACAGGGCTCTGAGTGAAAGCAGGATTGACCGATTGAAAGATACGAAATAGAAGAACGTTAATTGCAGGCACATTCTAGTATGTTCAGGTATAAGTGTCAGAAAACCAGGATAAGGCCGTAGATGTCCAACAAGAATGAAGAACTGAAATTGCCACGCAAGGAGGAAAGCGAACACGAGGTCTGTGTGTGGAGGAAATTGTGGAGGAGCTATGACGCAGGTGGCGCTGTGGGTTAAACCACTGAGCCTCTTGGGCTTGCCGATCAGAAGGTCGGCGGTTCAAATACCCGCGACGGGGTGAGCTCCCGTTGTTTGGTCCCTGCTCCTGCCAACCTAGCAGTTCGAAAGCACGTCAAAATGCAAGTAGATAAATAGGTACCGCTCCAGCGGGAAGGTAAACGGCGTTTCCGTGCACTGCTCTGGTTCGCCAGAAGCAGCTTAGTCATGCTGGCCACATGACCTGGAAGCTGTACACCGGCTCCCTTGGCCCATAAAGCAAGATGAGCGCCGCAACCCCAGAGTCGGCCACGACTGGACCTAATGGTCAGGGGTCCCTTTACCCTTTATGCCTATTTTGGCTGGGGAAAACAGGAGCTGGGTTAAGAAGTCAGGATGGAAGAGAAAGACGAATAGCCTGTTTCAATGACATCTTGAAGAAACTATCAAATCAGAAATAGGTATGTCTCTTACAAGGGGAGGTGGTCATCCATTTAGGGATAAGTAACCAATTAAATACGGGACGCGGGTGACGCTGTGGGTTAAACCACTGAGCCTCTTGGGCTTGCCGATCAGAAGGTCGGCGGTTCAAATCCCCGCGACGGGGTGAGCTCCCGTTGCCCAGTCCCTGCTCCTGCCAACCTAGCAGTTTCAAAGCACGTCAAAGTACAAGTAGATAAATAGGTACCACTCCAGCGGGAAGGTAAACAGTGTTTCCGTGCGCTGCTCTGGTTCACCAGAAGCGGCTTAGTCATGCTGGCCACATGACCTGGAAGCTGTACGCCGGCTCCCTTGGCCAATAAAGCAAGATGAGCGCCGCAACCCCAGAGTCGGCCACAACTGGACCTAATGGTCAGGGGTCCCTTTACCCTTTATGCCTATTTTGGCTGGGGAAAACAGGAGCTGGGTTAAGAAGTCAGGATGGAAGAGAAAGAGGAATAGCCTGTTTCAATGACATCTTGAAGAAACTATCAAATCAGAAATAGGTATGTCTCTTACAAGGGGAGGTGGTCATCCATTTAGGGATAAGTAGCCAATTAAATACGGGACGCGGGTGGCGCTGTGGGTTAAACCACAGAGCCTAGGACTTGCCGATCAGAAGGTCGGCGGTTCAAATCCCCGCGACGGGGTGAGCTCCCGTTGCCCAGTCCCTGCTCCTGCCAACCTAGCAGTTTCAAAGCACGTCAAAGTACAAGTAGATAAATAGGTACCACTCCAGCGGGAAGGTAAACAGTGTTTCCGTGCGCTGCTCTGGTTCACCAGAAGCGGCTTAATCATGCTGGCCACATGACCCGGAAGCTGTACGCTGGCTCCCTCGGCCAATAAAGTGAGATGAGAGCCACAACCCCAGAGTCGGCCACGACTGGACCTAATGGTCAGGGGTCCCTTTACCCTTTATGCCTATTTTGGCTGGGGAAAAACAGGAGCTGGGTTAAGAAGTCAGGATGGAAGAGAAAGAGGAATAGCCTGTTTCAATGACATCTTGAAGAAACTATGAAATCAGAAATAGGTATGTCTCTTACAAGGGGAGGTGGTCATCCATTTAGGGATAAGTAGCCAATTAAATACGGGACGCGGGTGGCGCTGTGGGTTAAACCACAGAGCCTAGGACTTGCCGATCAGAAGGTCGGCGGTTCAAATCCCCGCGACGGGGTGAGCTCCCGTTGCCCAGTCCCTGCTCCTGCCAACCTAGCAGTTTCAAAGCACGTCAAAGTACAAATAGATAAATAGGTACCACTATGGCGGGAAGGTAAACGGCGTTTCCGTGCGCTGCTCTGGTTCGCCAGAAGCAGCTTAGTCATGCTGGCCACATGACCCGGAAGCTGTACGCTGGCTCCCTCGGCCAATAAAGTGAGATGAGTGCCACAACCCCAGAGTCGGTCACGACTGGACCTAATGGTCAGGGGTCCCTTTACCCTTTATGCCTATTTTGGCTGGGGAAAAACAGGAGCTGGGTTAAGAAGTCAGGATGGAAGAGTAAGAGGAACAGCCCGTTTCAATGATATCTTGAAGAAACTATCAAATCAGAAATAGGTGTGTCCCTTATGGGGGAAGTGGTCGTCCATTTAGGGATAAGTAGCCAATTAAATACCAGGGGGCAGTGTCGTGATTTGCATAGGTCCAAAAAGCTGGGCATTGACATAATTTTAAGGCTATAAGGATGAGACCAAATTGGTCTCCAAGCTTCAGAAGGGAGGGGCAACTCATTCATTCTGGAAGACACAGCTGCTTGCTGGAATAGGTATTGATCTGCTGATTTAATCTTTACCCTCACTTCTGCATAAGGGAGCAACCTTTCTCGCAAATAAAATTCTGCCCTATTAATCTGTTTCTGGTGTCTTCCGGTCCGGTCTGAATATCTGGCATGCCCCAGCGAACCTAGACTGCGTGGTGGCCAAAGGACTATCTGCAATCAGGTGTTGCAATTGAATTAGGATCACGCCTTCAGAAAAATTAGATCTCGCTTAATTTAATTTTCTTTGCACCTCATCCCCCTCCCGTCTCTTTTTCTGCGACACTCCATCGCTCTCTGACCATCCTCGTCTCAGGAAGTCACATGAAATTAAAATAAGGCCACTGGGCTGCAGAATCCTCACGCCAGAAATGTGTGACGAGGCCTAGGATCCCCGTGGCTGAGTTAGGATTTGAACCCAGCACCCATTCCTCCTGCGGGGACAGAGAACATACAGTGGAACCTCGGGTTACAGACACTTCAGGTTACATATGCTTCAGGTTACAGATTCCGCTAACCCAGAAATAGTACCTCGGGTTAACAACTTTGCTTCAGGATGAGAACAGAAATCGCGCGGTGGCGGCGCAGCGGGAGGCCCCATTAGCTAAAGTGGTGCTTCAGGTTAAGAACAGTTTCAGGTTAAGAACGGACCTCTGGAACGAATTAAGTACGTAACCCGAGGTACCACTGTATATCCACTTTTCCCCCGCAAGCAGAATTCTTCCGGACTGCTGTTTACCCAAACACCTAATCTTTCTGTTGTCTCTTTTCTCTCCCCTCCCATATTGCTCTCTCCGGTGGGACTTAATCCCCTCTCCTTCAAAATATTTAGGATCAGATTCAGCTCTCCCCCCGCCCCCGCCCCCGCCCCCCCGCTGAGGCAACAAAATGTTTTGCATGAGAAAACGAGCTGCCAAACTCCATCCTCTTTTGGCACTGGGCACCAGCGCTGAAGTTGGCCGGTTCTTAAACATTCAATGCATTCCCTGCCATTACCTCCCCTCCTTCCATCCCCATGACAAAAAGCAGCTTTCTTCTCTCCCCCCCCCCCAATTCCATTCCGCCACAGAATACAGTATTTAAAAAATGACCCCAAGTCAGGCTGAACTGGGATTCTTTCCCTAATGCAGAGTCTTTTTTGGGGAGAAAAGATAAAGAAAGGAGAGAAGGACTGGAAAGAAGACTGGTTGACACCCCCGCCCTGCCCCCCTCCCCCGGCGCTCACAGCTTTGTATATATTTGACAGTCAAGGAGTCAGAGTTTTCCGCTGAGGCAGGCGGAGGGGGGTGGGATTTCGTCGTCACTCCGCACGTGCCCTTGTTCCTAAGCTCAGCAGTATTTGGAAAATACTGTGTTTAAAGCTTCCTTCTTGGGTTTTGACCGTGCCAAAATCTCAAGGCTTTAAAGAGAGGGAACAGGATGCAGCGCTTGCAAGCACTCTTTTGCATTAGATTTTCTGCCTCTCTTCTTTGAAAGAGGGATGCAGAGGGTCTGCCGTGAGCCAGGCGTTTTTAGGGGGTCAGAGCATTAAAACACACACACGTTCTTCTCAGGCAGTCTGAAGTGAGGCAGTCATAATAAATATATATAGGTAAAGGTAAAGAGGTAAAGGGACCCCTGACCATTAGGTCCAGTCGTGACCGACTCTGGGGTTGCGGCGCTCATCTCGCTTTATTGGCCGAGGGAGCCGGCGTACAGCTTCCGGGTCAGTGGCCAGCATGACTAAGCCGCTTCTGGCGAACCAGAGCAGCACATGGAAACGCCGTTTACCTTCCCACCGGAGTGGTACCTATTTATCTACTTGTACTTTGACGTGCTTTTGAACTGCTAGGTTGGCAGGAGCTGGGACCGAGCAATGGGAGCTCACCCCGTCGCGGGGATTCAAACCGCCGACCTTCTGATCGGCAAGTCCTAGGCTCTGTGGCTTAACCCACAGCGCCACCCATGTCCCTAGATATAGATATAAATATAGATATAGATATATAGATATAGATAGATGTATATCAATATAGATGTATATCAATATAGATGTATATCAATATAGATATTGATATAGATATTATATAATTTGTTTGTTTGAATTTTTTTATTAAAAATTTAAACAAAACATATTATCCAAAAACATGTCATCCTAAATTTCCCCCCATTTTCCTCCCTCCCCCCACCCTCCCACACAAAACATCCCCGGCCTTCCCTCAGTTCCAGTCTTTGGTTTCTTTGTGAATGCTGTTCTCTGCATGTTACAAAGTTGTATATCTCCTTAAATTGTTTAACTGATTATTGTCAATCAAAAGTTTGTGAAGGTTTATTCAAAACCTGCCAGGGAGTCCAATTCACTTTGTTGCATCTTCAAATACTTTGTAAAGGGTTCCCATTCATCTTTAATGAAGTGAGGTAGCCTAGAATAGTGGCAGGCAACCTAAGGCCCGGGGGCCGGATGTGGCCCAATCACCTTCTCAATCCGGCCCGCGGACTGTCTGGGAATCAGCATGTTTTGACATGAGTAGAATGTGTCCTTTTATTTAAAATGCATCTCTGGGTTATTTGTGGGGCACAGGAATTCCCTACAAAATACAGTACAGCCCACCACATGGTCTGAGGGACGGTGGACCGGCCTCCTGCTGATAAAGGTTGCTGAGCCCTGGTCTAGAATCTATAAAATCTAGATTTCACCAGGCTCCACCCATTGACCCATCAAGCTCCGCCCCAAACTGGCCCCAGGCATTCTAGATCAGGGGTCTGCAACCTTTAAGACAAAAAGAGCCACTTGGACCTGTTTCTGAAGGAAAAAAAACTGGGAGCCGCAAAACTCGTCATTATAAAAATAACTTTTTTGTCACTTTTTTATTATTTCTTTGTTTGACCCCTCAGAATTACTCCTCCTCATAGAAATAAACGTTAAATTAACAAGTTACCTTTTTTTATGTGTGTGTTCTTCACTCCCCTTCAAAACAGTGACCAGCGTACATGCCCCCTTTCAATGCAGTGACCAGCGTACATGCCCCCTTTCAATGTAGCGGGCGGGCGGGCGGGAAGGTGACGTCGGGACGGTGCATGACTAACGCACGCACCGCCCCCATGCGACGTCACAGCCAGTACAGCACCCGCCACAGTGGGGAGTGTCGGGGCGCACAATGCGCCTCCTCCCCTCACTAGTATCCGCCCCGGAGCCACGGCAGAGGTGTAAAAGAGCCACATGCGGCTCCGGAGCCGCAGGTTGCAGACCCCTGTTCCAGATTCTTCCATGCCCCGCCCACATTTTGCTCCAGAGCCTCCACTCAACCTTCCACATTCCTCTAGGCTCCGCCCAGAATTTGAACTTCCTTTTGATCCGGCTCCACCTCATGGCTGTGTCTGGGGGTGGCAGTAGTAGTTCTGAAACTGAAGTCAGAAAAACCTGTTGGTTGCGCCCAGCAGCAAGCGTGAGTTTGCATGGATCGGAATGAAGCAATATTTTTATTTCCTAGCTGCTGCATCCCAAAAGGACACACACACACTTTTGTAGTGATCAGGTGGGATTGCTATGAGGAATTATAACAAATATAGAGTAAGCCATCTGTGTCAGCAATGAAAGCATTGCGTTGACTGGGTTTAAACTATTTTGATATGATTCTTGATCAATCCACACTTCTGCATCCTTGTTCCATTTCTCTTTCTTGACAAGTCACGTACCCACTTAGAGAGGCAGGCATCCTGGGTCATCAAAGACAGTGGGCAGTTTCTGATATGTTAATCTTAGGATGTTAATCTTAGGGCCAGGAAACAGGTTTCACATAAAGGTGATAATGATCGCTGTCTTCCTGGCCATCCTTCTTATCATGTGTAATGATTGTTTATGACCTCCGGGGTTGCTGAATTGTAGTTTTGTAGTTTTCCTTTGTCGTTTTCATTCATTTACCCAAAAGTATGCATGCCTAACTAGTGTTTGTAGTTTAACTTTGTTCCCACGTGGGGTTTGTTGAAATGCTTAGAAGAAATCTGATTGGTTCTTACAAACACTCTGTAAAAAGTTCTTTTGTGAATAAAACGACCTGGGCCAAAGGGTGGAGGGACAGAGAGAGACACAGAGAGAGATTATTATACGCATCCTTCCCAGAGTCTTGCTGGTTCAAGCCTCTGTGTGGATTCTTATTAATCAGAGTTCAGTCCTTCCTTTACTTTGAGAACGCCTCAACTTTCTTTTGCCCAGTTCTCCCCTTTCATCCACCCACGGAAAGTATACAAAAGCACATTCTATTAGGTGGAATTGCTTTGCGGAAACATGTAGATTAGGCAAAATTGCAGGCGGGCAGGTGCTGATTAGGGAAAATTTACACTAAAACGCTGGCGAATCCCCATGAGGACTTTAAAGGAAATCACAAATTGATGTGGGAAGGTAGAGAACGCAATTTAAGATTGCATGCCCTCCAACATCCCACTAATCAAAACGCAGGTGCTCATTTTTTGGGGGTCCTTAGCTCGCGCGAGAGCCAGATAACTCACGCGATGGGGAAAAAATAATCAGTATCTTTTGGTCCAGTGCTCTGGTGCGAGCCAGCTGATTCGTGACAAAGCACAAGCTAGGCTGGCTTCTGTAATTCCAGGAAGTCCCACTCAGACTGGGACGTTTGAGGATATGAGACTGGAAAAATGAGAAAGTGGGGGGAACCAAAATTCTCCGCTTTGCCCCCCCTCCCTCCTCATAGGATTTGGTCTCACAATCCTGGTCAGCCTTCTATGTTTCTCAGTGGCATTCTTAACATGTGGGATGCGGGTGGCGCTGTGGTCTAAACCACTGAGCCTCTTGGGCTTGCCGATCGGAAGGTTGGCAGTTCGAATCCCCAAGATGGGGTGAGCTCCCGTTGCTCTGCTCCAGCTCCTGCCAACCTAGCAGTTCAAAAGCACGTCAAGTGCAAGTAGATAAATAGGTACCACTCCAGCAGGAAGGTAAATGGCATTTCTGTGCGCTCTGGTTTCTGTCATGGTGTTCAGTTGTGCCAGAAGCGGTTTAGTCCTGATGGCCACATGACCCAGAAAGCTGTCTGCAGACAAATGCCGACTCCCTCAGCCTGAAAGCGAGATGAGCACCGCAACCCCACAGTCACCTTTGACTGGACTTAATCGTCTAGGGGTCCTTTGCCTTACCTTTTACCCAGAACTGGACATAGTGGGTTGCGTCCAAGGTTAACCATGCTCAGAGTAGACACGTCGAATTTAAAGGACATGACTTACATGAGCCTGTTAATTTCAGTGGTCCCACTTTGAGTAGAAGTTGGGACTTTAGATGCAGCCTGGCCAGTCCTGTTAGGGTCCAAAAGCCAGCTTTTGTTGTTGTTGTTTAGTCGCTTAGTTGTGTCCGCCTCTTCGTGACCCCTTGGACCAGAGCACGCCAGGCACTCCTGTCTTCCACTGCCTCCCGCAGTTTGGTCAAACTCATGCTGGTAGCTTCGAGAACACTGTCCCACCACCTCGTCCTCTGTCGTCCCCTTCTCCTTGTGCCCTCCATCTTTCCCAACATCAGGGTCTTTTCCAGGGAGTCTTCTCTTCTCATGAGGTGGCCAAAGTCTTGGATCCTCAGCTTCAGGATCTGTCCTTCCAGTGAGCACTCAGGGCTGATTTCCTTCAGAATGGAGAGGTTTGATCTTCTTGCAGTCCATGGGACTCTCAAGAGCCTCCTCCATCACCATAATTCAAAAGCATCAATGCTTCGGCGATCAGCCTTTTATTGAGGACAATGCCACTACCTTAAACTTAGCCCCATGCCCTGTGGATAGAGGGTCTTGCAAACCTTTCCTCGCACTCTTCCCTCGATGGCGGAGCGAGTAAGCAGATCCAAAGACTGCTGATAAAGACTGGTCTCGAGCCATGAATTGTAGTATCTGGAGATCTGCAGGGAAAGAGTAGTTTGATACCTTGTCTAAACAGATTGACTTTCAATCCATCAACTCCAGGCAGCTGCTGGCTAGCTGGCTTTTTAATTTTTGTTCTTTTTCATTTTTATTTTAAAGGAAGCAGCTGCAGAAGTGGGCCTTTGGGGAAAAGAAACCTCTAGCTTTCAGAGAAGGTGGGGAGGGGGAATTGGGGGGAAGCGGTGGTTCTGCGGCGCCCACCTGGTGCCGGTGAGGGGCCAGCGCTGAGACGTGGCTCTCAGTTTCAGCCTCCATCCAGAGGAATACATGCAGCCCTGAGCGTGGAGCTGAGTCAGCGGCAAACATCCACAAAGCGATTTCTCTGGGGACCAAGGGAGGAGAAGGAGCATGCAGGAAAGACAAGCGCTTTTGACGGCTCCTGGGTTAACTAAAAGGGAACCATTTAAACCCAGGCAATAAATGAGTTAAGGAGGGTGTAAAAGTTGGCCCAGGGGTGAGGTCCCGGCAGGGCTGCAAATCTGCCGAGCGGAAAGGAAAGGCTTCTGCAAATGGGTTGCAAAAGTGGCACCTCATTTGGCTTTCCCACCAAGCTCACAGCTCCACTGCCACCCTCAAAGCAGACGTCCTTTCCCTGAGCTGGGATGCAGGCAACAAAGGCTTTCGAGTCAGGTTGTTGTTGTTTAGTCGTTTAGTTGTGTCCGACTCTTCGTGACCCCCTGGACCAGAGCATGCCAGGCACTCCTGTCTTCCACTGCCTCCCGCAGTTTGGTCAGACTCATGTTTGTAGCTTTGAGAACACTATCCAACCATCTCATCCTCCGTCATCCCCTTCTCCTTGTGCCCTCCATCTTTCCCAACATCAGGGTCTTTTCCAGGGAGTCTTCTCTTCTCATGAGGTAGCCAAAGTCTTGGAGCCTCAGCTTCAGGATCTGTCCTTCCAGTGAGCACTCAGGGCTGATTTCCTTCAGAATGGATCAGTTTGATCTTCTTGCAGTCCATGGGACTCTCAAGAGTCTCCTCCAGCACCAGAATTCAAAAGCATCCATTCTTCGGTGATCAGCCTTCTTTATAGTCCAGCTCTCACCTCCATACATCACTACTGGGAAAACCATGGCTTTAACTATACGGACCTTTGTCGGCAAGGTGATGTCTCTGCTTTTTAAGATGCTGTCTAGGTTTGTCATTGCTTTTCTCCCAAGAAGCAGGCGTCTTTTAATTTCGTGGCTGCTGTCACCACGAGTCACTTTGAGTCAGGGCTGCGGTGCAATTCAGGGTGAACAGGAGAGAAGAACTGCTGTGGTGGGCCGCTCTTGGCAATGGTCGAAGTGTCAGGAGCTCAACCTACACTCGAGTAGGACCCTGGCAGAGACACATGCCCGACTGCCATGTTCTCTCCCTCCTGGTAGATCGTTCGGGAGCGTCAAAAGCTTTCTTCTGCCAGAACATCACAGCGACCGATGCCAACCGACACCGGCACACATAGGGATCAGCAGAGTCTTCGCAGCTTGCCTAACAGACCTCAGCAACTCAGCATTTTGGCTAATCTACTGTTACAGAAATTACCGGGGGGGGGACACATCTTTAAAGTTAAATATTACAAATATTATGCCTGAATGTATCCTTTCAACTTGACAGCTCAAGGAAGTTACCTAGCTTTAAAAATAATATAAAATCATCTCCTTTCCCAGTTTCCTCCATTCCAAAGCTATTTTCCCCTTGAAAAAGGACTCCAGGAAGTTCCCAAAGGTGACAATTGCTGGGCTCATTGTTAGCCAAAGGAAGCCAAATCTCATCACCTGACTCGCCTCAGGCCCCAGACATGAAAAAAGGAACTTCTATTGTACTTTTGGGTGGTGGGTACTTAAGACATATTTGTCTATGCTAATCTTATACCTGAGTCTTGCCCTGCCATGTCTGCTTATGCTAATCTTGTACCAAGGACTTGTCTGGACATGTTTGCCAAGGTTAACCCCTCCCCTTTGGTGACATGTCAGTGATGTAGCAATGATGCTGTACGAACTGTATTCTGGGATATGGTGGGAAAGTTTTAAAAGTCTTTGTCACCCCATCCTCGGGGTTCAAATTTGCTCTTTGAACCTATTGTGCAATAAACTTTGGTCTACAGCTATTTGCTCCGGTTGGCTGGAATCCTTCCTTTATTCTGCAGGGACCTGCAGGCTCTGCCCGACAAGCTGAGTGACTGAGCAGCCTCGCACCTAGATTTTTTTCCTTAACACTACTTTAGGTAAAGGTAAAGGTACCCCTGCCCGTACGGGCCAGTCTTGACAGACTCTAGGGTTGTGCGCCCATCTCACTCAAGAGGCCGGGGGCCAGCGCTGTCCAGAGACACTTCCGGGTCACGCGAGCCAGCGCAGCACACGGAAACGCTGTTTACCTTCCCGCCAGTAAGCGGTCCCTATTTATCTACTTGCACCCGAGGGTGCTTTCGAACTGCTAGGTTGGCAGGCGCTGGGACCGAACGACGGGAGCTCACCCCGCCGTGGGGATTTGAACCGCCGACCTTTCAATCGGCAACCCCTAGGTGCTGAGGCTTTTACCCACAGCGCCACCCGCGTCCCATTAACACTACTTTATTTACATATAAACACACATGGAGCATAGCTCCCTTTCACTCTAGCATGATTTTCTGAGGGAGTCCGCTCCACTGTCAAAGAGCTCTTACAGTCAGTTCTTGTCTCTCTCTCTCTTTGTGCAAATGCAAATCTGCTAGGCTCACCTTTAAATGGAAATATCTAAAAGTTGGATTCTCCCAAATGAAAAGCCCGTAGCCCGTAGCCCCAAGAAGGCTGGCAGAGGAACCCAGGAGGACAGAATCCTGAAGGACAGGACCACCCAAACCCTGCCGTTCCACTCGCTCCCTCCCAAGGCACAGGTCCCAGTCTTGAACCCGTACAGGGCTTCCTCTCCACAATTTCTTCTCTCTGCGTTCCATTCACGCTCTCAGCCAATTCAGAGCTATTGTGACTTCTTTTGCGGTGCCTTTTTTCCTCTTTGGCCAAAGGCCGGCATCATTCAGAAACAAGCGCTCCGTTAGCCACTTCCAGAAGCTGCCATTCAGCTTAGACGGAAAGAAGGAAAGGGGGCAGTGAGAGGGTGGGGGGCTGTGCGGGGAGTGGGGGTGCTCAGTCTCCATACAGCAACCAGTACGAACCACTCCCAAATTCTAGTGAGCCCATTGCACCCTTCAGTGACCCAAAAGGGTTTTGCAAAGGGAAGAAGAGAGTGCGATAGATTCACAGAATTGTATAGCTGGGATGCAGCCCAAGGTCATCTAGTCCAACCCCCCGCAATGCAGGAATCACAAGCGTCCCTGACAGATGGCCATCCAACCTCTGCTTAGAAAGCTCCAAGGAAAGAGAGTCCAACCCCTTCTGAGGGAGACCGTTCCACTGTCAAACAGCTCTTGCTGTCAGAAAGGTCTTCCTGATGTTTAGCCAGTGTGGTGTAGTGGTTAAGAGTGGTGGACTCGTAATCTGGTGAACTGGGTTCGCTTCCCCGCTCCTCCACCTGCAGCTGCTAGGTGACCTTGGGCTAGTCACACTTCTCTGAAGTCTCTCAGCCCCACTCAACTCACAGAGGGTTTGTTGTGGGGGAAAAAGGGAAAGGAGAATGTTAGCCGCTTTGAGACTCCTTCGGGTAGTGATAAAGCGGGATATCAAATCCAAACTCTTCTTTGTGCTGGTCCTGTGGGTTACCTGAGAGGCAAGGTTCAAGTCCAGTCCATGGTCGAAGGTGCAACATGGAGGAAGTCCGAAGTAGCTGAAGCTGGGTGCAGGGCAGGGAGTCGGGTGAAGTCAGGAACAGGCTTGCAAGCAGGGAGCCAGGGCAGGTCAGGAGCTCCGGCAGGAAAGCAGGACAGGGTTCAGGCAGGAACTAGCAACCAGCAATGTTGCTCCCGCTGCTTGGGACTGGGGCTGGCTGGCTTTTATCTGCCCCGAGGCATAGGGCAGCCCAGATCCTCTGGTGACTTGCCTCCCCTGGCCTGGAGGCAAGCACTCCTCCTGCGGGAACTTAGTTCCCTCTGCCTCTCTGCCCTGAGCCTCTGCAGCTCAGGAGAGGCTGGAGGGTTACTGGACCCAGAGGCAACCTCAGCTTCCCCTGACGGGGCTGAGAGTTGAGCACCTGCAGGCAATGGGTCCTCCATCACCTCAGGAGCCAGAGCAGACTCAGCTGATGCCTGCACCTGGGGACCCAGCACAGGTGAGGACCCTTCAGGCTCAGGACCCAGCCCCGGCTCAGCTGGTTCTGGAGGCGGGGAATCCTGTGCAGGCTGGGATCCCTCAGGTTCAGCATCTGAGTCCGAATCCCAGGCCATCACATTCTTCTTCATGTAACTTGAAGCCATTGGTTCGGGTCCTCCCTTCCAGAGCAGGACAAAGCAAGCTTGTTTCCTCTTCCATGTGACAGCCCTTGAGATATTTGAAGTTGGCTATCACCTCTCCTCTCAGTCTTCTCTTTCCCAGGAAAAACATACCCAGCTCCTTCAACCGTTCCTCATCAGGCTTGGTTTCCAAGGAGGAAGAGGCAGTTCCTCCCTGATCACTAAGCCTTGTTTCTCCTTCAGCTTCCAACACCGCCTCCTCCCAGGCTTCTCTTTCTTCTCTCCCTCTGACCACTCGTCGTCATCCCACCACCATTCCCAGGCTCTGCTCCTTCTCCTTCCCTTCCCTGCTGGTTCCTCCCACCATTCCTCTGGATCCAACCAGTCCATGACAGTCACCTTCTTCCTCCTTGCCCCTGACTGCCCCCTTTCAAAAGCCCCACGCCTCTCTAGGTGCACCTGGCCTGGGGTACTGGACCCAGAGGTTTACCCTGGTCCAGGTCCAGTCCCGAATCCAAGGGTTCCGTGAGGACTCAGTCCAACAGGGCCAAGGCAGGACACCAGGCAAGGTCAGGGTCTCAGACAGGTTCTAGCAAACAGCAATGTTGCTCCCTCAACCTGGGGCGGGGTCCGACAGCCTTTTATCTTTGTCGGGGTAACGGCCAGTCCTGATCCCCCGGCGACTCACCTCCCTGTTTCGCCAGAAGGCGAGCACTCCTCCTGCGAGTACTCAGGTCTCTCCTTCTCTCAGACCTCAGTCTCTGCAGCTCGGGAGACGTCAGTGGGTTACTAGACCCAGGGGCCACCTCAGCCTCCCCTGACCCAACCGGTAGTGGAGCAGCTATAAGCAATGGCCCAGCTGAAGGCAACGAGGTCATCCCCGCATCTGGAGCCAGGGCAGGCTCAGGTCCCTGACTCAGCCCAGCTGGTGTTGGTTGCAGGGGAACCTGTGCAGACTGGGACTCTTCAGGATCAGGCTCCAGACTAGGTTCAGATGCCACCTGAGGCAAAGGATCCGGGGTGGACTGAGACTCCTCTGGTTCCGAGTCCGAGCCCGAGTCCCAGGCCATCACACCTGGGGTGATCTGGAACTGCCTCAACCTGCTCCAGTTTAATTCCAGATCAGCCTGATTCAGCAAAGTTTGGCTTGGGATCCAGGATCTGACTGGGGCAGTTGCATGGTCATCATTCTGACTGCACAGAGACCTACACTTGGAGGAACAAATTGCCTATTAGTACACAGGACAAACAGCCAAGGGGATTTTGGAGCGCTTGCTCCTCATTCCTTGCCGGAATCACAATCCCCACGAAACCACCCGCCTTCGTAACTGCTGGGGCTCCTTTGGGGATTGCAAAGGGGTGACGTTGTTGGGTGCTAAACGCCGCCTTCCCCTCTGCTGCAGCATCAAAAGGCGTCACGTTGGAAGTTCCCCCAGAAGGAGCGAAGTATTAAGCAGCCATGCACAGATGCAAGTGAGGAAGATCGGTAGAGGGAAGGTCCCCCGGGACGGCGGCAACGCAACTCTGTTGTGTTGCTGTTTTAAAAAACACACAGGCTGAACGCCGCCAAAGCCTGATTATGCAGCCGCCTTGCCCTCCAGAGGATACGCCACTGGGAAGCTGGCAACTTCAGTTCCTGTTGTCTTCCGGGCACAATTAAGAACTTTTCTGGGAGCTCGAGAGATACCAGCTCTGCCTTATCTTAAAGCATCGGGTGAGCCTGTTTAAGGAGTCCCAACAGGACGCTTCGGCTAAGCCCAAACAACTCTCCGTCTCTTCCCTGCTAAGATGATCCACCTTCCTCCCCATACAGAATTCGGAGAAGTGCAAATTTCAAAGGATAGCTGCGTTTTGGGTGTTTCTGAAAGTGCGAAATAACGGTTTGCAAACGAGAAGTTTGTCATCCCATGGCTGAAAGCTATGGCCAGAAAAGCCACCTCGATTGGAATGCCATCATCTTATACCATCTCGGTTACAACACTGGCCTTGAATCCCTGAGGCAAAGGCTTTGGGACATCTCACATAGAGACCTGCGATCCCAATCTTATGTAATTTGTAGCCCGGTCGCTGCTGGAACCCAATATGGGTATGACTTTCAGATATCCTCATATCTTAGGAATTTGTCTGTACCTACCTATCAGTGTTTATTTACCAAAGCTAAACTAAGTATATTTCCCTTGGAAGTTCTAAATGGCAGACTGAGAGGCATCCCCTATCAGAATAGGCTTTGTTTATGTTCCCAGGATGTCAATTGTATGAAGCATATCCTACTGCATTGTGGGCAATATGAGCAAGCGAGAGGTCAACTGATCAAACCCTTACTGGCAAATTTGCTGGGAAAATCTGCAGCCTCCCATATTAAATATCTTTGGGAAGACAGGTCATATTACACAGGTCATATTACATATTACACTGGCCGTGGCAAAGTTTCTTTCAGAGGTTATAAGAAACAAAGATCATTATGCCCTAGATAAAACAAAATGACTGCCTTGGTTTATTCCATCTGTCTGTCTGGTCATTTTAACTGTATCTAGTTTTGAAATTTGTTTTGTGAGTCTTTGGACTGCAACAAAGTTTTTTGATATGGTTTACAAAGGATGATGAAGTCAAATGTCAGGAATGAGCCAGCTCCTAGCGAAGGTTTGCAGTCAACTGCAGAAACAGCCAGGAACAGAGAGGCTTAGATGATAGTCAGGCAGAAGAAGAGGAGGAGGAGGAGGAGGAGGAGGAGGAGGAGGAGGAGGAGGAAGAGTTTGGATTTTATATCCTGCTTTATCACTACCCGAAGGAGTCTCAAAGCGGCTAACATTCTCCTTTCCCTTCCTCCCCCACAAGAAACACTCTGTGAGGTGAGTGAGGCTGAGAGACTTCAGAGAAGTGTGACTAGACCAAGGTCACCCAGCAGCTGCATGTGGAGGAGCAGGGATGCGAACCCGGTTCACCAGATTACGAGTCTACTGCTCTTAACCACTACACCGCACTGGCTCTTCCTGATGTTGACAGAGAGGCTGATAAGGCAGTAGCTGAGAGCAGGCTAGAACACAGCCAAAGCTTGCTGGAAGCACAATCAAGCAGGAACAAACTCAGAGACAGCCTCTCAGAACCAGAAGAGGTTGGAGCTGATCCAATAAGTTTGAAGTCGGCCAATGGGAGGGTTGTTCGATGCAGCCCTGCTCTCTGTCCTGTGACTCAGCCTCATTCCAAGTAATAATAATTAAAAAAATTATGTACATAAAAGCACAATCAATTAATTGTAATACATTCTAAAATCAATTCATTCTAAAATCAATTCAGAGTCAAATTAATGGCAACCATTGGGCTAGAGTTCTATGAAGATTACAGGAGGAGAGAGGGAGTCAGGCTGTGCCTTGGCCAAAGACCTGGTGGAACAGCTCCGTCTTGCAGGCCCTCCGGAAAGATGTCAAGTCCCGCAGGGCCCTGGTCTCTTGCGACAGAGCGTTCCACCTGATCGGGGCCACAGCTGAAAAGGCCCTGGCTCTGGTTGAGGCCAGCCTAACCTCCCTGTGGCCTGGGATCTCCAAGATGTTTTTATTTGAAGACCGTAAGGCCCTTTGTGGGACATACCAGGAGAGGCGGTCCTAGGCCGTATAGGGCTTTAAAGGTTAAAACCAGCACCTTAAACCTGATCCTGTACTCCACCGGGAGCCAGTGCAGCTGGTATAGCACTGGGTGAATGTGATCCCGCAGCAAGGACCCCGTAAGGAGTCTCGCCGCAGCATTCTGCACCCGCTGGAGTTTCTGGGTCAGTCTCAAGGACAGCCCCATGTAGAGTGAGCTACAATAATCAAGTCTGGAGGTGACCATCGCGTGGATCACAGTGGCGAGGTCAGGGCGAGAGAGGTAAGGAACCAACTGCTTAGCTTGGCAGAGATGAAAAAATGCCGCCTTTGTTATAGTAAATGGGAATAGTTGGAACAATTTAAAGGCACCCCAACTGAGGCTTTTGGGCTGTGAGTAAATCCATTTCTGGGGCTCTTCTGGTTAAACAACAACAACAGAATTTCCTCTCCCCAAACCCCTAAGCCCCGATTAATTGTTTTTAATTAAGTAAATGCCGCTTTCCCTCCAGACGGCACTTTGCCTGCAGAAACGTCACTAATTACAGTAAGGGAAAGGCAGCGTGGCGTCTTAGAGCTGCTTGTGGGCGAAGAGAAATGAAATAAATTCTGGGCATGGTCTCAGCAAAATAGGTAGGAAGGCTCGACACAGTGTAGGTATTGGAAAATTAATAAATGATCTATCAAAGAAAAGAAAGAACGGACCTCCAGAAAGAATTAAGTTCATAACTAGAGGTAAAGGTAAAGGGACCCCTGACCAATAGGTCCAGTCGTGGCCGACTCTGGGGTTGCGGCGCTCATCTCGCTTTACTGGCCGAGGGAGCCGGTGTACAGCTTCCGGGTCATGTGGCCAGCAGGACTAAGCCGCTTCTGGTAAACCAGAGCAGCGCACGGAAACGCCGTCTACCTTCCCGCCGGAGTGGTACCTATTTACTCGCGCTGGTGTGCTTTCGAACTGCTAGGTTGGCAGGAGCTGGGACAGAGCAACGGGAGCTCACCCCGTCGCGGGGATTCGAACCGCCAACCATCCGAACAGCAAGCCCTAGGCTCTGTGGTTTAACCCACAGCGCCACCTGCATCACTCCTAACAAGAAGCACCACTGTATATAAAATTGAATACAGTGGTACCTCAGGTTAAGAACTTAATTCGTTCTGGAGGTCCGTTCTTAACCTGAAACTGTACTTGAGGTACCACTTTAGCTAATGGGGCCTCCCGTTGCTGCCGTGCCGCCGGAGCACGATTTCTGTTCTCATCCTGAAGCAAAGTTTTTAACCCAAGGTAATATTTCTGGGTTAGCGGAGTCTGTAACCTGAAGCATCTGTAACCTGAAGTGTCTGTAACCAGAGGTACCACTGTATGTGGAACAGAATGCAGTAAACTCCATTTTTGCACTTCTGCGAATTTTGCAATGCAGCACTTGGCTCAAAAAAAAAGGTATTTCAAGTTAAAACACATACAGAAACGCATATTGCTGGGATAAATTGCAAACAGCAAGCACATTCTAGGAGGAAATGCATGTGAAAAGACACATTTGAAGAGAGGGAAATGTACAAATGCAATTTTTGTCGATTGATGCAGAAATAGAGTGGACTTTTGAATGTCCACGTGGAAAATAAAATTGACATGGAACAGAAAGAGACATATGTGTCCAAGCCTACAAATCTCTGGTGAATATAACAGCTCTCAGCAGCCCCCAGGATCAGAGACAGGATGCCTGTAATTACCGTATTTTTCGCTCTATAAGACGCACCAGACCACAAGACGCACCTAGTTTTTGGAGGAGGAAAACAAGAAAAAAAATATTCTGAATCTCAGAAGCCAGAACAGCAAGAGGGATCGCTGCGCAGCGAAAGCAGCAATCCCTCTTGCTGTTCTGGCTTCTGGGATAGCTGCGCAGCCTGCATTCGCTCCATAAGACGCACACACATTTCCCCTTACTTTTTAGGAGGGGAAAAGTGAGTCTTATAGAGCAAAAAATATGGTAACCCATTCCTGGGAATCCTGAGTAGGAAATTATTGCGCTCCCTGTAATCTGTTTGTGGGCTTCCCAGAGGCAATTTCACACCAGACACAGTGAAATTTGCTCCTGCAAGAGACAGGGCTGTCCCAGTGGCGTAGCAAGGTCAGGTGGTACCCGGTGCGGAAAATTTCTTGCCACCCCCCCCACACACACACATTGATTTTTTTAAATTGTTATTTCTCACCTGCAAAAATGGTTTGACTTTATTTCATATTTTCATATTTACAGTCATACCTCGGAATGAATTAAGTTCTTAACCCAAGGTACCCCTGTATAGATATAGATGATATAGATATAGATATACAGTGGTACCTCAGGTTAAGTACTTAATTCATTCTGGAGGTCCGTACTTAACCTGAAACTGCTCTTAACCTAAAGCACCACTTTAGCTAATGGGGCCTCCTGCTGCTGCCGTGCCACCAGAGCCCAATTTCTGTACTCATCCTGAAGCAAAGTTCTTAACCTGAAGCACTATTTCTGGGTTAGCAGAGTCTGTAACCTGAAGCGTATGTAACCTGAAGCGTATGTAACCTGAGGTACCACTGTAATTAAATAGGGCTTCCATATTTTCATCGGAGAAAAGTTGGAGGGTGTGCCACGTCCGGGGGAACCACCAAGGTTTGACAAAGTTTTTAAAAAACGGTTAAAAAAACCCAGCCCCCAAACCAGCCCAGTCGACTCTGATAATGCAGAGTATCTTTTGCAATTGTGGTTAGTGAAAAACAGAAAGGCAGAGGAATAATGGGAAACGCAGAGCCCCAATGTTCATCCTGCTTCTCTTTGAAATCTCAGATCAGCTGCCAGAACAATAAACAGACTAGAGTCCGACATGGGAAACTGGGCAGGGCACCCCTTTATCTTTCTCTTTCTCATTCCCTTTTCCCCAACCATGTGAATTTATTTTTAAAATAAAAAATAAGGTAAAGGTAAAGGAACCCCTGCCCGTACGGGCCAGTTGTGTCCGACTGGGGTTGCGTGCCCATCTCACTCTATAGGCCGGGGGCCAGCGCTGTCCGAAGACACTTCCGGGTCACGTGGCCAGCGTGACAAGCTGCATCTGGCGAGCCAGCGCAGCACACGGAAACGCCGTTTACCTTCCCGCCGAAGCGGTCCCTATTTATCTACTTGCACTTGACGTGCTTTTGAACTGCTAGGTTGGCAGGAGCAGGGACCGAGCAACGGGAGCTCACCCCGCCGCGGGGATTCGAACCGCCGACCTGACGATCGGCAAGTCCTAGGCGCTGAGGTTTTACCCACAGCGCCACCCGCGTCCCAAATAAAAAATACCCTGCTTCTATTCCAGAGAACAGCCTATTAGTCCAAGCGCCGTGTGAAATTAGGCATGCGGTCTGGTTCTTAAGGTTGCCTAGCCCAGAATAATTGGGATGGGGGGGTGCCTGGCAAGCCTCTGGACCGAGGGGGGTCAAACGAGGTAACTTCTGGAAACCAATTCAGTGTTATGAGGTGATTAGCATTCCTCCCATCTCCCTTTCCTGCTCTCCCTTCCTCTGGATTTTTCTTGACATTCAGTCGAAGATAGGAAGCTGGTTTGATTTTGATTTTTTTTGAGAGAGAGAGAAAGGCTGAACAGCTGACGGGTTGCTAAGCGAGTTGCTATGCAAACTGCCGGGGAAGGGAAGATGCCTGCAAAGTGGATTCCTCAGCAAGCGACAGCCACGCCCGGCAACCATCCAGGTCACTGGCACTGGCCAATCCCTCCCTGCGGAAGGAGCAGGAAGAGGCGGGTGTGCTTCTTCGACTGTCCCTCGGTCCCAGGGCAGAGAGCAGGGCAAAATAACACAGGGCTGACCGTCAAAAGGAATTTTGGAAAATAGGCTTCCAAATAATGCTTCAAAGAAAGGGAATGTGTTTAGGGAAGTTTTTAATATTTAATGCTGTATTGTTTTTAACACTTGATTGGAAGCCGCCCAGAGTGGCTGGGGAAACTCAGCCAGATGGGCAGGGTATAAATAATAAATTATTATTATTATTATTATTATTATTATTATTATTATTATTATGCCTCTTGTGTTTTCATAGAATTGTAGGATTGGAGGGAGATCCTGAGAGTCGTTCAAAGTGTTAGTGCTGACCTTGAAAGCCCTAAACATCCTCGGCCCAGTATACCCAAAGGAGCGTCTCCATCCCCATCATCCTGCCCGGACACTGAGGTCCAAGAGCCTTCTGGCGGTTCGCTCCCTGTGAGGAGTGAGAATACAGGGAACCAGGCAGAGGGCCTTCTTGGTGGTGGCGCCCACCCTGTGGAACACCCTCCCATCAGATGTCAAGGAAATAAACAACGATCTGGCTTTTAGAAGACACCTTAAGGCAGCCTTGTTTAGGGAAGTTTTTAATGTTTGACACTTTATTGGGATTTTAATATTCTGTTGGGAGCTGCCCAGAGTGGCTGGGGAAACCCAGCCAGCATGGTGTAGTGGTTAAGAGTTGTAGACTCGTAATCTGGGGAACCGGGTTCGCTTCCCGCGCTCCTCCACCTGCAGCTGCTGGGTGACCTTGGGCTAGTCACACTTCTCTCAGCCCCACTCACCTCACAGAGTGTTTGTTGTCGGGGAGGAAGGGAAAGGAGATTGTGAGCCGCTTTGAGACTCCTTCGGGTAGTGATGAAGTGGGATATCAAATCCAAACTCTTCTTCTTCTTCTTCAGCTCTTAGGTGATTGGAGAAATCATCTTCCACATCGTCATCATCCCAGTTGCCTTCCCACACTTGTTCATCTTCATCTTCACCAGCTAAGGGTTTTGACTGGGAACTCATTGAGCTTGCATTTATATCCCAGCTTCTTCTCCATGGAGTTCTGGAGGGCTGCATCCGATTCCTGAGGCTACCCACCCCTCGTGTCCCTTTGAGACAGGGTGTGATGGCCTGGGAATCAGATTCAGAGGCTGAACCTGAGGAATCCCAGCCTGCACAGGAGTCTCCGCCTCCAGGGGGAGCTGAGCTGGGGCTGGGGCCCTCACCTGTGCCAGATCCTCAGGAGCAGACACCAGCTGAATCCGCTCTGGTTCTGGAGGTGATGGAGGACCCATTGCCTACAGGTGCTCCACTCTCAGCCCCGTCAGAGGCAGCTGAGGTTGCCTCTGGGTCCAGTAACCCTCCAGCCTTTCCTGAGCTGCAGAGGCTCAGGGCAGAGAGGCGGAGGGAACTAAGTTCCCACAGGAGGAGTGCTCGCCTCCAGGCCAGGGGAGGCGAATCACCTGTGGACCGGGGCCACCCTATGCCTCGGGGCAGATAAAAGCCGGCCAGCCCAGTCCCAGGTTGCGGGAGCAACATTGTTGGTTGCTAGTTCCTGCTTACCTTGCCAGCAAAGGTCCATATAGTTACAGCCATGGTTTTCCCAGTAGTGATGTATGGAAGTGAGAGCTGGACCATAAAGAAGGCTGATCGCCAAAGAATGGATGCTTTTGAATTCTGGTGCTGGAGGAGACTCTGGAGAGTTCCATGGACTGCAAGAAGATCAAACCTATTCATTCGGAAGGAAATCAGCCCTGAGTGCTCACTGGAAGGACAGATCGTGTAGCTGAGGCTCCAATACTTTGGCCACCTCATGAGAAGAGAAGACTCCCTGGAAAAGACCCTGATGTTGGGAAAGATTGAGGGCACAAGAAGAAGGGGACGACAGAGGACGAGATGGTGGGACAGTGTTCTCGAAGCTACAAACATGAGTTTGACCAAACTGTGGGAGGCAGTGGAAGACAGGAGGTCCTGGGGTGCTCTGGTCCAGGGGGTCACAAAGAGTCGGACACGACTAAACGACTCAACAACAACAGTTCCTGCCTGCACCTTGACCTGCTCTTCTGCCAGAGTTCCTGACCACACCCGACTCCTTGCCTTGGACCCCGCTTCAGCCTTGACGGACAGCCCCCATACCACACCCTCGACCTCGGACTGGACTCAGACCATGCTGCTCAGTAACCCCCGGGATCAGCACACAGGAGGAAAGAAGATTTGCAGTGGGCTTTGTGGCTGTACATGGATTTTGTGGCTGTACACGGACACCTGTTTTGCGGGTTTGCTATGCAGTCCTGAATAGGTTGGGATGGATCCTAGCAGTCTGGGCTCTCCTCTCCTTTGCAGGCAACCCAAGTTCTTAGAGATACAGCAGCTGCCTCGCTCCTCCTCCGCCCTCTGGCTCCGTTCGACATCTGCTCTTCCTTCCTGAATTAAAATTCACAAGCATCACTCACCCGGGGCTGCCCTATCAACGATTCTGAGCAGGATTTTCTTTCCCCCAACGGTGACTTTATCTGACAGTAAGATATGGATTTATACCCCTGTGGAAGGAGCAGCTAAGTTCGGTAACACAATGACCTTTTTGACCTGTAAGCAGCTGGCAGGGGGAGGTTATGCATACCAGGAAATGTCAAGGGGCTGGAGAGAGACCACGCTTGGGAGGGAGGGAGTTTGGGAAGGGGAAATGCAAAAATCAGCAGCACCCCCTAAATTTTTGGGGCGAGAGATCTGGAAGAGAGATTCTTGCTTTCTCGTATCAAGAGTTAAGCACAATGGTGTCTGCTCCAAGCACATTAAAACTTGGCTAGATTTGCATCTGTCCTCATCCACCTTTAAACAAGCATTGCCCCTGAAAATACCTAGGCTTGAAAAAATCCCAGACACTTAGCTTTGCAAATAAGTGAATGTTTTACTCACGGAGTTGACAGAAGTCACAGCAAACAAGTCTCCATCTGCTGGCAGTAAAACAAAGAGGGGAAAAGGTTCCAAAGAACTTCAAAAAGGAAAAGAACTTGGTTTCCTTACCAATAGGATCATGCAATGTTTGGGTTAGCAGGCTGCAGATGCAGGCTGTAAAAATCTCTATTCCTTCACTTGGGTTTTCTTGCAGATGGGTGCCATAGCTGTCTGGTCCCTTGATTGTTCCAGGAATCCGGGGGGGGGGGGTGGGCAGGACAGAGGCTGCTGAGAGTCTTTGAAATCGACACTTTCCTGAATTTTGCAATGCAGTTCTGCACCCAAGCACTGTGTGCAAAGATGCATTTAATAACATAAGGTAAAGGTAAAGGGACCCCTGACCATTAGGTCCAGTCATGGACGACTCTGGGGTTGTGGCGCTCATCTCGTTTATTGGCCGAGGGAGCCGGCGTACAGCTTCCAAGTCATGTGGCCAGCATGACTAAGCCGCTTCTGGCGAACCAGAGCAGCGCATGGAAACACCATTTACCTTCCCGCTGGAGCGGTACCTATTTATCTACTTACACTTTGACGTGCTTTCGAACTGCTAGGTTGGCAGGAGCAGGGGCCGAGCAACAGGAGCTCACCCCGTCGCGGGGATTCGAACCGTCTATCTTCTGATCGGCAAGTCCTGGGCTCTGTGGTT